AGATCCCCAGGGCTGCCATCTATTCTCCAAGCTGCAGTCACCCTTTTAAAATGGACAGATCACTGATCAAACTTTGCACCAATGGTACCCATCTCACTTGGTGCTGCCAACTCCTGAAATGACCTCCCAGGCCCATTGTGTTCTGGTCCCTGACAATCTCCCTGATCTCATCTTCTGCTCTTTTCCTTCCAACACGTCTTCCCAACCACACCAGTCACTATGCTGTTCCTCAAACATTCCAAGTCACCTCCTACCTCAGGACTATTGTCTCTGCTGTTCCTTTTGGCTGAATTGCCCTTCTCCCCAGTAGTCACATGGTTTGCTTCTCAGCCTCATTTATATTTCTGCTTCAATTTAATCTTAACAGAAAGGCCTTTCATAAAGACCTTATTTAAAATTGTAAGTCACACGGGCTGGGTTGTAGATTAGTGGTAAAGCACTTGCCTAGCAAACTAGACTGTGGGTTCAATCCCCAGATCTGAAAGAAAGAAAATTGCAAAACAGCACCCCTCCATACTCTTTATCTCCCCTCCTTTTGTTTTGTTCAGTGTTTGGAATTGAACCCAGGGCCTCACACCTACTAGGCAAGTGCTCTACCACTCAGCTACTTTGCATGCTAGGCAAATACTCCATTACATCCTCATCCCCACAATCCCTCTTTTTTGTTTCTTCTCTATTTTCTCTGTAGCACTAATCTCCACTTCACATGTCATTGTCTAAAACTTCCCTGTAGCTGAGGTGTTATCCCACTTACACAATAACAAAGTAATGCTTTACTATTTCATGGATTCTGACAGAAGACATGAAACTCTGGCTAAGAGACAAAGGGCTTGATTGTTTTGTAAAAGCAGCAGCTACAGTTTGAAGTTTGTGTTATTTCCCCATGTTCTGCAAGCCCCATGGAAGGGCCCATCACGGAGGGCATTACAGTAAGTGGTAAGCATTCCTGTTCTTTGTCCAAGGAGAGCACCTCATCCTTTAAGGGTTCTTTTCTTCGAGTACAACCCTAAGAAATGACCTATTTAAACAACTATCAGGATCTTGCTTTCTTGGCATACCAAGCAAGAAACATGCAGGGATTCTCAGGAGCCATAGCAGATTGCTTCTCTCAACAGTGTAATTACTTGTGTCTCCAACTAAAGTGTGAGGTCAGAGACTGTCACTTTGTATGCCCAGCACCCTAAAAAGTGCGGGAGACATAGTGGTTGCTCAGTAAGCATTTGCTGGATGAATGGATTGACTCCAATCCATTCATTTATTCTCAGCAGTTAGTCATCTGTTCATTAGTTCCAGACCCATGGTGGAAATAACAGACAAACCAGACCTTATTGATCAACCCTGTGATGAGGAAGACAGACCATCTGACAGAGTGTTCACTGTTGTGATATCTGAGAGAACAGAGGCATATTCCCTGTCTATCCTAAATCCTTCTTACTGCACACTAAACCAGTTGTCTTACTCAGAAAGAGCAGGAAGTAAATGGCTTCACCAGGCCCCTGCCCTCAGCACAGATGGAGTTTTGATTTCTCTTGGCATGGGATGTGGAGACTTCTTGAAAGCCAGGTAGCAGTAAGCACTCTGAAGATCAAGTAGAACAGCCTGGAAGAGGGACAGACGGGAAGAAGCTACTTCAGGTCAGGGGAGACATCTCCACAAAGGTGATATTTTGAGCAGAGGCCTGAATCAGTAAAGCAGGAACCTGGTAAGTTTAATGTGGAAGAGACTTTAGGCAGAAGGAAGTACAAAGACCCCAGTGGGAACACTCCTGACACTTCTGAGGACTGGCAAGGCAGATGGCATGAAAGTGGGAGGAGACAGGGTCAGAGCAGACACGAAAACGGGGTGACTGACACCCTTAAAGGGTCAAAGGTCATGGAAAAACTTTGGAACTTGGTCAGCGCTTTCTAGGAGGAGCCAATCTGAGACCCATTCAAAACAACAGGTGCTGAGTGTCTGCCTTGGGCCAGGCCCAGTGCTGGGCATGTGGGACCCAGGCTACAGAGGTGTCCTCTTGCCTCGGGGAATTATCAGAAGCAGATTTAAAAAAATCAATGGCAGTACAATGGATGAGAGCCATCTGGGGATCAGCCAGGGAGCAACAGGTGCAGGTGCCCAGATGGAGGTGCATTAAGTGTCCCTGGGGAGCCCATACTGCACTTCACTGGGCTGAAATGCCAAAGGTGAGTTGGTACTTGTCACATGGGCAGTGGAATAGTAGACAGTTGTGTGCAGGCCCCATGCTCTGATGAAGGATAGGGATTGTTGGAAAGGTCAGACCTAGGCCTGGAGAGTCTTGTGTCATGAACATCCAGAGCGGGCAGGGTCACCTGGTGATGGGAGAATTTACTGCTATGCTCAATCTTGGGGTACTCCTCCTTTTATGGGTAAGAGGGTTGTTTCATTTGGTGGCCTGGAATGTTCGATAAGCTCCTGGGTCTGGTTTTTCCAGTATGAGTTTGATATACCCATGCATCCATGTGCTTCTGATTAATTTGATAAGTTCACAGGAAGTCATTTTTGTAAGCATGATTAATGAAGCCACTATCACAATCAAGGCACTGAACACATTCATACAGGCCACTGATCACATATTTTACAGATTTATTTATTCATGGCATTGAACCCAAGGTCACTCCACCACTGAGCTATACTCTAGCCCTTTTATTTTTTGTGTGTGTTTTTACAGATTTATTGAGGTATAATTGACATACAAGAAATACTAAGCCAGGTGTGATGGGATACCCGTAGTCCTAGCTACTCAGGAGACAGGCAGGGGTATCATTTGAGCCCAGGAGTTTGAGTCCAGTCTTGGCAACATAGCAAGACCCTGTACCAAAAAAAAAAAAAAAAACACAAAAAAACAAAAAAACAAAACAAAACAAAACAAAAAAAAACTTGTACATGTATTTCTTATCCAAGTACTAACCAGTTCTGACCTTGCTTAGCTTCTAAAATGAGATATACTGGTCACATATCTAAAGTGTACAATTTGATGTTTTGACATATGTGTATGTACCTAGAAAGCCACTATCACAATTAAGGTGCTGAATACCCCCAAAATATGTCCATCTCCCACTGCTGTTACTTTTCCTCCAGTTGTTACAATGCTGGGGACTTCTGGGAAATTGAGGCAATGTGAAGGTCCCTTTCACCCTGATTCTTCTTTTTTTTTGGCACTGGGACCTAGGAGCACTTAGCCATTGAGACCACATCCCCAGCCCTTTTTGTGGGGTGCCAGAGATTGAACTTGAGCATTCAACCATTGAGCCATATCCCCATCCCTATTTTGTATTTTATTTAGAGGCAGGGTCTCACTGAGTTGCTTAGTGCTTTGCCATTGCTGAGGCTGGCTTTGAACTCATGGTCTTCCTGCCTCACTCTCCCCAGCTGCCGTGATTAAGGCCTGTGCCACCACACCTGGCCCCAGCCCTTTTTATATTTTATTTTGAGACAGGGTCTCACCAAGTTGCTGAGGGCCTCACTAAGTTGCTGAAGCTGGCTTTGAACATGCGATTTTTCTGCCTCAGCCTCGGGAGCAGTTGGGATTACAAGCATGGACCACCATGCCTGGCTCACCCTGATTCTTTCAGTCATGACAGAAAGATTTCAGACATGTCACTCAGAGTAACAGGCATGAATTTATTAGAAGGATTAGGAAAGGGGAAAAGGGGACACTGTCAAGGGAGACAGTAGGTCTTTTCAGAGAGAAAGACTGTGTACCTCTCTTGCCCTCAAATTTTATTGGGGTCCCAAGGAAGTTTCCAGAGAGTCCCACACATGTCCAGACTTTCAACTAACAGAAGATGACATCAGACTTTCAAGTCCCCACTGCTGTGACAATTCTAGGTCACTTTAGCCCATGCTGACTGATTCTAATTGGAACCTGTTCTTATGGATTTTATGGTTAGGGGGAATTATCTTTATCTCCCTGAATTTGGGGATATGGTCTGTGTAAGGATTACAAAAGTCTCCCCTTTCAGCGTAACTTGTTTTCTTCTTATCAGCATTTTGGGGCCTGTATTTCTCCTGCAAATAATAGGTAGTTTGCTGAGGAATGTAACCTATCCTGTGGACTTAAGGCAGGGCTTCAGGTAAATTGCTTTTTAAAAATGAAAGCATGTGGGGGTCAGCATAGTGGGCCCAATATACATAATTATCCCCTTAACCTCATGTTCCCACCAGTCTGTCTCCTAATACATCCCCCCTGTAAGCCTCCCCTGACTCCCCACTGCCTTCCCACACCAAACTGTTAAGTACTATGACAGCTTTGGTCATCATAGTCCCACCCTGGAGACAACCCAGCTGTCCTTCAGTGAACACAAACAAATTGTGGTGGACTGACACATGCAACTACTCACATTGAATCCTGAAGGCATTATGCTTGGCACAGAGAGTGCCCAGTGTGGGATTCCATTTCCATGAAACCCAAACGTCAGAAGTCAGAACCGTGGGTGCCTTTGGGGATGGAGTTGTGGCTGAGGATTGAACCCAGGGCCTCTTGCATGTTAAGCATGTGCTCTACCCTGAGCTGCAGCCCTGCCCCTGAGGGTGGGAGTATTCACTGGCAAGAGGAGGGACCTTTCTGGGGAGATGTATGGTGGTTGCTCAGATGTATACACAGACAAAAATCCATTGCTTAAAATTTGAGCATTTTACCGCATGTACCTTACACTTGAATTTTAAAAATCCTTCTGTAAACATAATCACCTCCATGCCTCGCATATGTTGGAGAGGACCCACCACCCTTGCAGGGGCCCCAGATGGTTCCAGCTATCAGCTGTCTGTGGGGTGGAATATTGAAGACCCTGAAGCCGCTTCATCAAGAGTCTTCTGTGCGTGCCTCTCCTCAGGTTTTTGAGAATGAACTCTCTGGGAGTCCCTTGAAGCCTCTTCCCCCTCTGTGGACCTCAGTGGCTGCTCTTCCTCCTCGCATGGCAGCCACTGCCATTTGCAGAGTGCTCACTGGCTGCGAGGTACCTAGCCAACCTTCCTCTGTAGCCCAAGGGGGAGGATCCAGGCTTGGGGGTGGACCCTGCACTCTCAACCCCACCCCTTAGCTTTGAATTCCAGCTCAGTCTCCAAGCAGCTGAGTGACTGGAGGAGAAGGTAAACAGCTTCACCTCTTGGAACCTCAGCTGCCTCACCCCCTGTGGACCTCCCAAACACACCCAGGGGGTGAATGAAGTGTGAAGAGCCAGACCTGGTGGGTGGGGGTGCACTGCCTGGGAGCTTCAACTAGCACAGGTTGAACCCCAGCCAGGGCTGGTGAGTCCTAAATGGGAGGGCAGCCTTTTGTGGGGCCTGAGGGCCAGGCCAGGACGCCAATCCAATTGCTACTTTCTATATGACCTTGGATGAGGATTAAATGAGTTAATAGAAATCAAGCACCTGTAGACAATGTCTGGCACCAAGTGCTGCATTAAGTTAATATGTCCAGACTTTCAGTCTCAGACTTGGTTCTTCCCTCTATAACCTGTGACCCTCATTGGCTCTACTGGTCACTGCTTCTGCAGCCACACCTGCTTGTCAGAGACCCCCAATCTCTCCCGACTCCCAATCAGCAAACTATCAACCCTCCGTTTTGAGTTGGGGTCCTCTCCTCTCTGGGGCCACTAGTCTTGGGGCCCAGCAGCCTGCTGGGTAACTCATTCCTCACTGCCTTTTCCCAATCCTGCCCTCCTTGTCATCTGCTGTACCACGTGCACAGTACAGGGATCCAGAAAAGGAGGCTGGTTGCCAAGGCAACAGAGGATAAAGCCCTTGCTCTGCCAGGCTGCTGATTGGCTAAGACAGGTCCCACCTCCTGCCATTCTGAGAGTGGGGAGTAGAGAGAAGGGTCTCAGATGGGCAGGGAGAGGTACCAGTGTGCTAAGCCAGCTGAGGACTGCCCCCACTTGGCCCACTCAGAGCCGGAGAAGCTCTGTCTCCCAAGGGGGGCGTTGGCTTCGCCCTATCTCTGCCTCCAGCACCCAGAGCGGCCACAGATGGCAGTGTCCCTGGGGACAGCAGCTGCGACTGAGTCTACAGGCCGATGCTGAGCTGCTCAGGCCGAGGCCGTGTGCTCAGCATAGAGCCCCCTGGAACAGGCAACCGCAGGGCGTGAGGTGGGTCCACGGGCATGCAGGGGCACTGAATGGTACCAGTGGCTTGGGAGGCAGGGAGAAGGGCTCTGCAGCCTTCAGACTGTCCTGGACAGAACGGTGGCTGAAATGGGCCTGGAAAATTTCTTATAGATCATCTGGTAACCCCATCCTCACCCTGTCACTGTGTACAGGAGACCCTGGAGCCCAGAGATGGTGAGGAATGGTCCAAGGTCACACAGAAGGCCTGTGAGTGTTTTGCATCTCTACTTAGCCCTCCCCTGCCCCCCTGAAGTCAGGAAAAGGTCTGGGAGTCCTTTGTCTGCCCCAGAATATCTAGAATTTTGTCTGCAGGGCTGGAGAGTTTGTGGAACCTGAACTCTGCTCCCCAGATCTACAACATTGCAGCTGATGTGGTTTGTTCTGCCCTAGCCCCCGTTCTCATACTTAAGCCGGAAGGAACAAAAGTCGGGGCTGGGTATGGGGAAGGGGCATGAATCATGTTGGCCTTAGTCAAGCCAGTTCGGGTCAGCCTCCCTGCCTGAGGGCCCCTCTTCCTCTTCCCAGCAACCCTGGCAGCATAGGGCAATTCTGAACTTGCTCAGAAAGGTAGATGGGTAGGAGGGTGCTGGGCCCTCCACACTGCCCTCTGCTGACTTTAGACAGTGCACTCTTCATTTTATTCCTCCATGAATAGGGCACCTTAAGATGTCTGTGTTTCTGAATAGCCAACAGGGGCCCTGGATAGGGGGCAGAGGAGCTCAAGAAAGATGCAGGACCAGGATGTGGCAATATCCTCCTCCGGGGGATCATGGCCCACCTGGGATTAGGGGGACAAGAGAAATTGGAGTTTGGAGACAGAGGTCAGAGGAGCTGGGGCTGCTCCTTAACTTGCCCTCGGGGGCCATTTCATTCATCCCTGCTTCCCCAGAAGCCCAGGTGGGCCTGTGCTCGTTTCATCCTGCTCAGTATCTTTCCCTGTCCTGAAGGGCTCAAGCCATAGAACCTCACTGGGTTTTGGGGTCCAGCTCCTCTACTTCCCATTTGGGTATCCCAGGGTAAGTTAGTGATCCTGTCTGGACTTCTGTTTCTTTATCTGTAAGTTACAGGCAGTGACACCTGCCCCACAGGCCTGGCCTGAGGTCTGTGGAAGTGCCCTAGTGGTGCTCTTCCTGCCAGGCAGACAGAAGGGGCTCCTGGGTCCACCCCTTTCTTATACCTCGGGCAAGTTTTAGGAGGTTTAAATGGGTCCTGCTCATTTCTTCCCTGGAGGAGATGATCTGTGATCTGGCTTTTGAAGTGTGAACAAGAGTTTGCCCAGTGACCAAGAACGCAAAGAACATTCCAGGGAAAATGAAAGCAGACAAAAAGCCGGGGACTGCGTAACATGCAGTGTTCACAGGTGACTGACAAGCAGTTCCACAATGAAATGGAGGGTGTGGAGAGCAGGCAGGCTGCACAGAGCACCTTCCACTGCTACCACCCACTTTCCTGCTTTCTTCACCTCTAGTTCACTGGAAATAATAATAGCAAATATTTGTTGAGCACTGATTCTGTGCCAAGCAGCATGACTTCAGATATCCTTTGGGCAATCATTAAAAATTCACAGTGCCTTTAGGAAACAGGTCCTATTTCTGTGCCTGTTTTGCAGCTAAAAGAAACTGAAGGTAAGAGTAGAAGAACAAACTTACTATGTAGAACCTACTATGTGCCAACATTTCATATAAATCAACTCACTGGGCAGTCACCAAAACCCTAGAAGCCAGGTGCTGTTATCATCCCAAGGCTCTAAGGACCTTGCCAGGACTTTTGATTCTAGTATCTATGGCCTTATAATTATGAAATTTGGCCTGTTCAGACCCTGTTACAAAGAAGCAGGTCCCCTGGGGATGGGTATTTGCTTTTACAAGGCCACAGCTGTTCAAGGTGTGTAGGTGGCCAGGAACCCATGCATCTGTTGGGATGGGGGCCGCTGGCAAACAGCAGACATTGCAACTGCAAAACCAGAGCTGGGCGCAGGGACACAGGGAGACCAGAGGAGGCTTCTCCCCACCTTTACTGAGGCTTCATCCAGGGATGGGTCACCACACTAAATCCTCACTGGGACCTGTGCCAGGGCTGTGTTAGTTTCTCCTTCTACAGGGGAGGAAGTGGACACCCAGAGAGGTTAGGCAACTTGCCTAAAGGCACACAGCTGGACAGGGACAGGGTCAGAGCTGTGCTTATGAGCTGTGCTGAGCCTCCTCTTATAGGGTGAGTAGGAGCTGGGGGTCTCCAGTTGATGGGGACAGGTCAGTGCGTGGTTAGAAGGCCTGGGCTGCTAAGGCACCATGTGGTCTGGATCAGGCTGCCACTGCCCCTCGCTCTCCCGGACCCCAGTCTCCCTACGTGTAAAGTGGCGCTTGGGGCCCCGGTCTCTGAGGGTCTCTCTGGGTGGGCGCCACAAGGGGCCCTTCCACCAGCTCTCGTGGCCCGTGTCTTGGCAGCCAAAGCCGCCGCGATGCCGCACTTTCTGGACTGGTTCGTGCCTGTCTACCTGGTCATCTCCGTGCTCATCCTGGTGGGTTTCGGCGCTTGCATCTACTACTTCGAGCCGGGGCTGCAGGAGGCGCACAAGTGGCGCATGCAGCGCCCCCTGGTGGACCGGGACCTCCGCAAGACACTGATGGTGCGGGATAACCTGGCCTTTGGTGGCCCGGAGGTCTAAGAGCCGACGTGCGCAGGTCGCAGGTGAGGGTACCCGGTGTCCTCGCTCCACCCGCCGAGCCTGGAGACTCTCGAAGCAAAGGGAGGATGACCCCTTGGTCCTCCAGCTATCTCTCTGCAGCCCGGGCTTCCAGCATAGCCACCTGGTCCTCCGGGAGGCCCCTGGCCGTACAGGTGGGGCGCCTGGAGGTCTTGAGGAGGCCGAAGGTATTGATCGCTTCTGCGGACCCCCTGGGTCAAGCCAGCTCTCTCCGCGGCGGCCTTCCCCAGCTCCGGGGACATCCCCCACCGGCCCCTGGGCTTTGTGCTGCCCAGCATTCTCCCCCTCCACCTGGAATCCACATGGCTGCTCCTGCTTGTCCTGTGCCTGCGGATCCCCCTTTCCCCACTGAATCCCCAGTCTCCCTCGCTCCCCTCCCTTCACAAAGGCATCGGCCCTGCAGCTACTTGGGGAAGGCTTCAAAGCTGACTCAGGGAAAGGGCCTCCGTTAAAGGCTGCCTGCCCAGCCCAGCCCAGCCCCACCCTTCGGGCTTAGGCTTGGAATGGTTGAGGGTGGGTAGTAGGGGTATTTGCAGAGGGTAGGGCCATGGGAAGGGGAGTGTGTGTGTGTGTGTGTGTGTGTGTATTCCGTGTGTGAGAGTCCCAGGGCTCTGTGGGTGTGAGGACTGTCCTCAGTTGGTTCCAACTCCCTCCTTCTGCCTGCTAAGGCAGCTGACAGGAGTCCCTGGCCACCCACCCTCCCTATCCCATGCTGCACTTCCAGGATTGAGCCCAGCCCCTCTTGAGCCAGGATGCCCAGAACACAAGCCCACCCTGGAGCCCTCCTCCTGTGCAGAGTCTTCATTGCCTCCCTTTGGATGTAGATTGACAGCCTGTCTCACTATCCTTTGCTGGGGCTTCCATCTTCATTTATTCCCAATAATAAAGACTTCATGACTACCTTTGCAGGACTATCCTTTTTTGAAAGGATATCAACTCACCCACTGGGTCCTTGTGAAAAAAATATGCTAGCTCAGTACTTTCCATTTTAGGGATGGGAACACCAAACCCCAGTAAAGGTTGAGCAGGGTTTCTTAATGGCAGCATTATTGATATTCTGGAGAAGGTCATTCTTGGATGTAAGGGGCTGTTGTGTGCATTGCAGGATGTTGAACATCCAGGGTTTCTACCCATTAGAAACCAATAGCACTCGCCCTTTCTCCTGTCAGAGCAATAAAAAAAATGTCAACTGGAATCCCTGGGGATAGTGTACAGTTAGAATATAAATTCAGGCACCAAGAGGCCAAACAACAGGCCTTAAAGCCAAAGAGAGTTTTTAAAAATTTTTTTTTAGTTGTTGATGGACCTTTATTCATTTATTAATTTATATGTGGTGTTGAGAATCAAACCCAGTGCCTCACCCATGCTAGGCAAGCACTCTACCACTGAGCCACAACCTCAGCCCAGCCAAAGAGAATTTTATTCCTATGGATGGTGCAATTTACAAGAGTTTGTTCAGAACCAATTTGGTGGCTAGTTCTCATCCAGGGTTCAGGAACCCCAGCGCCTCCCCCTGTTTTTGCCATGCAAAAAACATTGACTGGTTTACACGACCTGAGCTGATTCGTCTGCATCCTGAGCAGCAGGATGGAGGGATGGTGGGAAGGATGCCCCTGCCCTTGAGGGACACTGATGGCTGTAATCATGACTCCCCATCGGTTAATACTTAGTTGCATGGCTACCCTAGCTGCAAAGAAGCCTTTAGCTTGGTGACTGTGTATTCAATTAAAAAGTCCACCTCTAAAGTGGGACAATAATGGAGACTGCTGCCAGTTTATTTTAGTGGGGATTTGCCTGAGGGCATAGAGAAATGGGCTGGAGTCAGGGCTTGGGCATGTCACTTGTGTGTTCCATCTCTCTGTCCTTGTCTCTCATTCTCTTAGTCCTGCCTTCCTCTGTGTAGGTTTTATGTGCCCCCCAATAGTCCCTGGTTTCCACAGCCCTCCAGTGCCTTGATTTCAGCACAGCTAATCTCTCAGCGGTGGGAAAGCTCAGTGGATTTACATTGGCCCCCAGGGTGCATGTGCTTGGGAATGGGGTTCTCTGATTGGCCAGAGAGTGCTTGTTCCCACCCCTGGAGTTAGGGGTGGAGTAGGATGCACATGTGCCTCCCATGGGCTGAGAGGGATATTGGGTAGGGGAAGGGGAAGGGATGCTGAATGAGGAACTGAGGTCATTGTTTTACAGGGGAGGGGACAAGCTTGGAGAGGAGGAGAAAACCATCTAGGATCACCCAGGGTTTGAGACTGGATGTCTGGGGGTCTGAGTGTCTGGACAGGAATCCCTAGAGTTTGGTAAGCCTAAGAATCTGGGTTGAGAGTTGGAGCACGAGAATCTGAGTTTGGGCTGCAGGGCAGGCAGGATGTGGCAGAAGTAGGTGGGCAAAGTGGGTTCTCTAAGGACCCACTGGAGGGTAGGGCCCTTCCAATGCCTTTCAGATCACTCCATGCGAGATTGGGGTGGGGGCAACACCACTCACTGGGTAGCTATTCTGCTCTGCCTCAGTTTCTCTTACTGTGTCAGGTCCCGATGTATTCTGGGCTCCCTTCCCCCAGCGAGCAAACATCTGACATTTGAAGATCTGGTTTCACAAGTCTTTTTTCTTACTAATAAGTAATATACAGATGTGGTGGTGGGAACATGAAGTTAAGAGAATTCTATAAACTGGGCCTACTGTACTGACACCCCACCCCTAAGCTTTCTTTTATTGGGGGGATGGGGTTACCGAGATTGAACTCAGGGGCACTCAACCACTGAGCCACATCCCCAGCCCTATTTTGTATTTTGTTTAGAGACAGGGTCTCACTGAGTTGCTTAGTGCCTCAGCATTGCTGAGGCTGGCTTTGAACTCATGATCCTCCTGCCTCAGCCTCCCAAGCCACTGGGATTACAGGCGTGTGCCATGGCACCTGGTCCATGCTTCTTTTTTTTTAAATTTTTTTTTAGTTGTAGTTGGACACAATACCTTTATTTCACTTATTTCTTTTTATGTGGTGCTGAGGATCGAACCCAGGGTCTTGCACGTGTGAGGCGAGCTCTCTACCCCTGAGCTACAACCTCAGCCCCCCATGCTTTCTTTTATGCAGAAATTTACCTGTAGTCCTGCCTGGCTTAGGTCAATAGGATACACTATGTTGCTCAGCAAATAACCTGTTATCTGTAGGAGAAATGCAGGTCTGAAAGACTTCTCCCTGCTGATAAGAATGCAAGTTACCCAAGGTGCTTTGTGACCTTTACACAGATTATATTTCAGAACTCAGAGAGATAGGATAATTAGGAGCAAGCCCCTTAACCATAGAGTCTGTAAGAACAAGTTCCAATAAGAACCAACCAACTTGGGCCAAAGTGACCCAGAGTTGCCTTGGACTTTTAACATTGTCTGCCCTCTATGGGGAAGGCTAGTGATGGGGACTTGGAAGTCTGATACAATTCTGCTGTCAGTCAAAAGCTAAGAGGTAAACCTGGGTTGGACTCCCTGGATACTTCCCTGAGGCCTCCAATAAAACTGGAGAGCAGGAGGAACGTGCATCCCTCCTCTCTCTGAGAGGACCTGCTCTCTCCCTTGACAGTGTCCCCTTTTTCCTTTCTCCTATCTTTTCTATTAAGCCTTAGAGACTTAGTGAGAATTTCAGCAACTTAACAAGACCCAGCCTCAAAATAAAAAGGACTGGGGATATAGCTCAGTGGTGAAATGCCCCATATTCAACACCTAGTGCCAACACAAATAAACAAAAACCATAACTGACTGTGTCTTTAGTGTTGTCTAAGGGGGCACTGGAGAGAGGTTTGACCCAGAGGGTAGAAGCTACAGAAACGGACCAGTGCTCATGGAGGCAGGACCTTTCCATTTTCTAGGGCATGCCAGACTGGATGGGGAGCAACTTGAAGCCAGAGCCCAAAGATAGTAAATTCTAGAAGTCAGTTAAATTATGCATCCTTGGTCAAGTTTCTTGAACTTGCCTCACATTTCTGTATGCCAGGCCCTGAAATCACAGCTGATTCCAGTCCAGGTACAGGGTCCCGACTGGTGCCAACATTGTGCTCAACTCAGGTCTGGGGCTCCACAGAAACCTGTTTACTTTCCTATCCCTCCTGCCCTGCCTCGCTGGGTGATGGCAAATGTCAAAGGAAATTTTGGGATGAAAGGCACCCAATAAATGCTGTCCATCACATAACTCTCCTGATAAGCTCTCCAGGAGCATGTCAAATGCCAGCTCCATCCCGCCCACATGACTCCAAGAATGCAAAGGTAAAGATGTAGTCCCTGAATCCAAAGAGCTCACTAACCGGAGGGGCAAACGGATGCATAAAGTGTTATTGAAATATGTGCGAGAAACCAAAACAGAGCCGAAGAAGTGCCTGACTCCCAGCGAAAGAGTTGTCAGGAAAGCTTCTTGGAGAAGGGGGTTACCCAGCTGAAGGGTGCATGAGTTTCCCTTGTTAGAGGAAGAGGAGCCCGCACTGCAATGTCATGGGGACTAGGCAGAGCCTAACCTTTTCGGGGAGATGTGAGTTAAAGCTCAGAATGCCAGTGAGCAAGTAGTGGGGCGAGGGAGATGGAAAGTGACTTGACAAGGAAGGCTTAGAATCAAGGGGACGGCCTGAGGAGCCTTCTGTCACCTCTTCCAGACAGTCTTCCTTGACCCCACTACAGGCTTTCTCCATTTCAGCCTCCATCTTGTGTGGGACTTTGTTCACATGACAGTGAGAAGCAGCCACCGCAGCTTGTCGTCCTGTCTGTGGCCTGCCTGGCACTTGGCAGGGTCCCCTTGAAGGCTTGCTTGTTGGATGAATGGGGCTAGTCTCTTTGAAATTCTACTCAGAGGCCAAGATTTTTGAGTGGTTTAGAACTATCAGGGGGTCAGGCTGTGTGCCGGTTTTTAATTTATGCTTTGGGTGGTTTTGCAGAATCTTGGGAGCTGTCAGGTAAGGAAGGGCGGGTGTGTCTGGGCTTCACCCAGATCAGAAGGACAGGAGGCAGGAATGTTCAGGGTCCCTGCGTGGGAATGGTTGCAATGTTCGGACTCTAGCTGGGAGGGAGGCACAGGCTTCTCATTGTTTCACCTCCGCAGTTCTCCACTCTGGCCGAGTGGGAAGGGCTTGGGAAGGCCAAGAGAGCAGCTTTAGGAGAAGGGCAAAGGCTGTAGGCTTCCCTACAAGACGGTGACAAGCTCAACAGTCCTTCCAGAGGACTCTGGGTAGACAGAGCTGCTCTTTCTCCACCCATAAGTGGTGGTGAGGGTCTCAGAATCTGGAGCCTGGAAACCTAGATGTCCAGCTGCCAATGCACTCTGTATACAGTGGCAAGTTCATGTCCCACTCTGTTTCTCTGGCTCTGAACAGCTGGAACTGGTGTGGATGTCAAAGGACATCATGGGAGGAAAATAAACAAGGAGACTGGAATTCCACAGCAAGCATTTTGGGGAGGGACTGAACCCAGGGCCTCACACACTAAGCACATGCAACACCACTGAGCTTCAACCCAAGTCCCAAAGGCGACGGTTTTCATGGCTCACATGAATTGAGCTCACAGCACACTACCAGTGCATGATGAGAGGTTTGGTAGCTTCCTGGGGATTGGGCCAGCACCTCTCACCTCTTTTTTACAGCAACCTGTGAGCAGGTGCTCAGTACCATTCACCAAGTATTTCTGGCTGCCCAGCTCTTAGCACATGGTAGAATTATTCTACCCTGCCTCCTTGTGATGGGTGGGGCCGTCTAGTTAATGAGCTGTAATTAGCTGGCATTTGCTAGCTAGTCACCAATTCACCAGTCTCTCCTTCCCTCTGCCAAGATGACCAGCAATGCTCTGGAGGGCCATTGCTCCATCATCCCGAGTCTTCAAGGGAAGATGACATGGAGCAAAGCTATAGCTGACCCAAAGTATGGTAGACAGGAGGCATGAATGAGGAATCAGCCTTTGGGGTTAAAATCCACTGGGATTTTGGAATGGTTTGTTACTGCAGCATAGCTTACCCCATCCTGCCTGATCCAACCCCCATTTTACAGAGAAGAAACTGGTGCTCAGAGAGACGAAGTGACTTGTTCAAAATCACATAGCTGTAACAAGCCCACATATGAGACTCCAGGGCCTTTTCCCCTTGTCTGGAAGGCCACCACAGTGATTTTGTGCTTGAGTGGAGATATCTGCCTTCTGAGGACACTTCCCGGCCTTGAGTCAGTCTTTTCTTCGGTGGGAAAGAAGGATGTGTACAAATGCAAGGAGGTCATTGTCACTAAGGGCCACTAGAGGGCAGCTGGACCCAGGCCTGTAATTAACAGGCAGGCAGTGTCCGCAAAGGTGCTCAAAGGAGGAGAGCTCAGGGGCAGATGGGCAAGAGGAAGGAAGAGTTGGAGGAGACTCAGACCTCGCTTTCAAGGGACAAGAAGGAGGAATTCTGCATCTTCAAGCTAGAACAGACCACATGAGGGCACCTGGTGTTTATTGGAAAAGGCACTGCGGTCCAGGAGGGTGGGGGATCTGATAGAGGTCACACAGAGAGTCATTGGCCAAAGTGAAAAGAGAACCCAGGGCTGCTGACTTCAGCGCAGGGTGCTTTATCTCCCAGAAGCAATGTAATCCAGCGGGGGTGGGCCGTAGAGCCCCCACCCCCAATCCGTCCAGGCAGAGCTGTACTCTTTCCTCCCAGCAGCCACCTTCTTCCTCCCCCCAGCCTTAAAGAAAGGAGGGAGGGGGAGGAACTCCAGACAGCTCCCCTCCCCCTCCCCTGGGACTTCTAGCCAGTTGCCCTGGAAAACCTAAAGCCTGAAGGGGAGACAATGGTTGAGAAGAGGGGAGGGCACCGGGTCTACACATTTTACCATCCAACTGTTTCGTTTATTATATTAATTTTGCAGAAACTTACTGAGGGCAATTCTTACCAGGCCTGGGACCCAGAGAAAAATAAAATCCAGAACTGTGCTGTCTAATACAGGAGCTGCAGATTAAAATGAAATAAAAGATCCAGTTCCTTGCTTACCGTAGCCACATTTAAGTGCTCAGGAGCCACTGTAACTAATGGCCATTGCATTGGACAGTACAGATATAGAACATTTCCATTATCACAGAAAGTTCTATTGGCCAGCGTGGTCCAGAAGCTCACTGGCCAAAGAGAGTGGCACGTAGGGATATAGACCAGTGTGGTGTGGGCTGCAGTGTCCTCATTGGCAAAAAGCAGGTGGCAAGGTGAAGATTTTTTAAGATGCCTGGAGGGTGCTTAGCCTAGTTCCTGGTGCAGGGTGAGTGCTCAGAGGATGTTGATGTCCCCATCACAGGACAGCTATAAGGATGTTTCCACACCCCTACAGTATGTGCCCATAAGTGGCGACTCTTATTGCCACCATTATGAGAGCATTCCTCAGACAGAGGTAACCTGGGAATGGAGAAGAAGACACCCAGCCCAACAGCCAGGGTCTGCTGAAAATCTGCATTGCCAGGATGGGAGGCTTCGTGGGTCTCCTCGGCCAGGCCTTGGCCCAGGTCATTTCCTTCCCTCAGGATCTGAGTGGAGAGAGTCCAGCTGGAACGAGCTGGGGCTTAGGGATTTGTCATTGAGGGACAGACCTAAGTTCCAGGAATTCCAGCTTGCTTGAGAAAAGACCCCAGGTGTGTAGGCAAGGTGCCTGAGGGTCACAGAACGCAGAGTAAGGTGGCATGGGGATAACCAGGGGAACACTATCTTTGGAGTATCCCTATTCTTACTGGAGATATCTCACCAGGGGCCAATCTGTGGGAGACAGAGCACATTTGAGGAGGGCAGCCAGCAGGACACCCCCGCCTCCCAGGTGGCCTTGAGTTCACAGCAGCTGAGCCTGGCTGTTGTGAGCCTCCCCTGACCCTTTAGGATTCCAGAAGCTCAGAGCAGCCATTCACTGACACCCACTCCTGAGGAACCAGCCCCTCCCTGCCCCAGAGCCCAGCCCAGCTGCCAGATGTAGTTGGAGGCACAGGTCAGGAGAGAGCTGGGCCCTAGGCCTGGGGTTGTGGCCTGGAGGCTGAGTGGGAGCCCAGAAGGGGACCAGAGGAAGGAGGCCACCATGGCCAGCTTCTGGGTACAGAGGAGGTGAGGGCCTGCACTCACCCCAGCTCCTCAGGCCAAGAATCTGCAGCCTGTGTTACCTGCTGATCAAGGTAGGAGGGTATTTGTGCCATGGGGATAAAGGGGGAGGAAAAGGACCAAGGGCCATGGGGATCCTGGCTCAGTGAGGGGATGGGGATCTGAACACAGATGAACAGATCTCACAAGTCCCGACCAGCTCCCTGCGTGTGGCTGTGCACACTGAGGGTAGATGTCTGCGGTTACGTGTCAAGTGAACACAGTGCGCCCAGAAGCCTGTGGTTGTAAATAAGTGGGCAGAAGGGTAGAGCTTCAGGGATATGCCCATGGGGAGGGGACTGAGGCAGGACAGTATTGGATACAAATATGTGTCTGGGGACACACTTTAAGACGTGACTAGGACCCCTCTGCTGCCCTGTCTCCCCTGTCCCTGTTCCAGACCTGAGAGAGCTGGCTCTAGAACGGCTCTCCTCCCCCACCAGCCCTCACATTTGAAACCAACTTTCCTACCACCCGGGCCTGGCCCCCCCATGCAGATGGTCAAGTTCACAGTGTCGAAAGCAACAGAAACAACTTTGTCCCAAAGGATGAGTTATATGGATCCTGGAGTGGGCACCAGTCAGCCATCTGGGGACCCTAGAGAAAGGGAGTTCCACCTCCCTGACCACCAGGCAGTAGCCTGCGCCTCATCTTCAACATCCCTCTCTCCCTATTCCCTCCCTCCAGGGAGCCTTCTCCAGACCCCTCCCAGACACCTCCACAGCCCTCAGAGGCTTTCATTTGTGTCCCCATGGGCCCCTTGAGTTAATTCTGTCCCCCTCTTATCCCTCTGTCACCCTGCCTCTGAGTGACCAGTCCCACAGCAGTTCTGATCTTCCAGGCCTGAGCATCTTTGTAGCCTGGAGCCTGGTTTTATCCACAGCCTTGTCTCCTCTTCACCCAGAGGTACAGCCTAGGAGCCCCATGTTGGATTTTCAGAAGGAGCCTTCACTTTCCCACCTTTGGGTGTCTGTAGGAACTGCCTGGTGCCAGCCCCACCTCCCTCTGTTGACACAGACTTTGGGCGCATGCCCAATGTTTACTTCCCTAGAGCCCTGCCCACTTCCCTGCTGGGCAGTTGGGGATGGCAGTCTCCCCATGCAGTGGGGCAATGGCTTGCTCACCAGACATGTCTCCTGTGAATACTCATCACTTCTCTACTTCCCAAGCCCTGCCTTCTCTAGGGCCCCTCTAGTTCCATCTCTGATTCTGTCTCCACACCAGGACAACCCAGGGCTCTTTCCTGGTTTGGGGCAGAAGCCCCAGATCGAGACCCTGTTCTCAAGCCAACTGGTCCTCCTTGGACCTCTGGCCTGGATGCCTGAACTCTTATTTTGGCGGCTGGGGGTAGGAATCCAGAGCCCTTTGGCTCCTTCTGGAAGAAAGAGGCAGATAGGACCTCAGAAGCCACTGCCCTCCTCCAGAGTCCCTGAACATGCATGTGACCTCCATGGAGCTGTCCACAGAGAGGGGGCCACACCCAGGCTCAGGCAGAGGGAGAGGAATCCCCGACCCTGCGTTCTCTCATGCAGAGGCAGTGTGCATTGGCTGTCCTGTGTGGTGACTGGCTGGGTGTTGTGTGGGTATGTGAAGGACTATGGTGGGTGGGAGCTGTAGGAAGGTAGGAAGAAATGTGTGCACTCCACTAAGGAGTCCCACAAATGAGGGCCCTTCCGAGGGCAGTGCCAGCTGCTGGTCAGGATGGGGAGGGATGAAACCTCCAAGCCTGAGCACTTCACCCCGCCGGACCTTCACTCCAGGACTGTCCCAGGGGAAGCCGATGGACAACCACTTTGCACCTGCTCCTCCAGAGATGCAACCCCATGGAGCCTCAGGCTCTGGAACCTCCTTTTCCCGCAGCAACATGCTGGGGCGCCATCCTCACCCCTCACGGCTTCCTGGAGGGGTATCCCCCCTCATCCCTGTCATCAGAAAGACTGTCCATCTGGATGCCTTTCCCAAAAGCCATGTCCCACAGACCTCCAGCAGACTGGGCCTTAGAGCCAGGACTTTAAATGTGCCTCAGCAGGACACTGGCATTGCCCCAGGGGCTGTCCTGAGCCCTCTGCCTGCCAACAGCCTTGTGCCCAGAAAGCTGAGCTCCATCTCCCTAACAATCCATCACAAGAGCCAGGCAAGGTCCCTGAACCCCCAACTTTCCCACTGGGAAGAGCTGCACACCCTGGGCAGGGAGGCTGCCACTCATGGAGGAGGGAGGCTGTCTGCTCAAAGCTCAGCACCCATGACTATAGTGTCAGAAGGCAGAGTCCACTCTGAGGGTCCAGGGAACCCAGGTCTGCTCAAACCCAGCAGGATGCCCACAGTGGAGAAGCCCCTTATGAGTTCGTACCTGGCCTTACCTTTCCAATCTCGGCTAACCCAGAGTTCATCAAGTTTTGCGGGGCCAGGGCTGGTGGGCCAAGGGCACATCAGAGCCTCTGCAGGAAGAGGTAAGTCCCGGTCCAGGGGTATTCCCAGACCCCGGCTACTCCAAAGGGCCACCCCTGCTATGAATTTGGCTGTTGTGGGCACAACAAGGCCAGACACAGCCAGACATTTAGCCACAATGGCCACCAACAGATCTAGCTTGGCTACTACTTTGGCTACAACAAACACATCCAGATGGGACACAGGCACAGAGTTTCCTGCTCTGGATACCAAGTTGGATATAGCCACAGACTTATCTACCACAGGTACAACCAAGCCAGGCAAGGACACGGATTTGATAACTACAGATCCAGAGAAGCTGGGCAGAGTCATGGTTATAGCAGACAAAGCCAAGCCAGATAAGACTTCAGGGGACCCAGCCATGGTTTTGACAATACCAGATCCAGTCAAGCTGGGCACAGCCCGGCCAGACACAACCATGGCTTTGGTTAGAGCAAATAAAGCCAAGCTGGGTACAACTATGGATTCTCCTACTTTGGACACAAGCAGTCTGGGCACAGCCACAGACCCAGCCACTGGTGAGCTGGACATTGCTACCTACCCACTAATGCCTAGCATCGAAGCAGCCCAGGACCACCCCACAATGGAGACTGTCACAGACCAAGCCACCAAGCCTGTCACACTGGATCTGGCCAGAGAATTCAAAGGTAAGTGCAGGTATTCTGTTGGGTGGTGCTGGAGGGGGTGAGAGGTATATGAGTCTGGGATGGGTTGGATATCATGCTTGGATAGGTTAGGAAAGGGAAGGAGGAGTTGGAATTGAATAAATCAGCGAAAAAGGAACAGGGATCAAGGAGCTGACGACAGGAGGTGTACCTTGACTTGAATACTAGCCTGCCAGAGGTCAGGTTGAGGGAAGCCATCAGAAGGAAGGCTTGCAGGTAACTTGTGGAGGAGCCATGAGGCTGAGTCCTTCAGTGAGCATCTCCATGGTTATTTCTTTGTTCTCCAAAGAGCTAGAACACTCCGGCCATCAATAGCCAAGTCTAGTTTTTTTATAAATTATTCTGTTCATTTATTTTTATGTGGTGCTGAGGATCGAACCCAGGGTCTCACACGTGAGAGGCTAGTGCTCTAGCGCTGAGCCACAACCTTAGCCCCCCAAGTATAGTTTTAAAAGCAAATCACTGCATGGAAATACAGGCTTGCACTTCAGTAACCCACTATTTGCCATAGTAGTTGTCATTGCAATGCTTTCCTGTATGTGAGATAATGACCTTGCCCAAGATCTTCTAAATCTATTCACACTCTGCCTTTCAGGAAGATATCTGTTGTTAAAAAATTGCTTTGCCTGAGAGTCTCTTTCTTGGCACCCCTACCCTCAGTCCTTTAGTCTTGAAAGATAAGCTGGAGATCATGCTAGGTTCTCATGCACGCTAGCTATATCCCCAGCCCCACTGGAGACGTGTGGAAGTCAACACAAGGGCTGGAAGTTCCCTCAGAGAGGTTGTGGCATGTTAAAGTCTCACCAAAGTGGATTAGTTGTGGCAGTAGGCTGGTTGGTAAGGTTTTCCTTTCTTTTTTGGTGCTGGGGTATGAACTTGCACGCTAGGCAAGTGCTCATTGCTGAGTACATCTCCCAGTTTATCAGTAAGCTGAATGAAACCCAGACCCTTCGGATTCTACTTCGGACTGTCGCATTCCCTACATTTCAAAGGCTCAAGAGATTCTGGGTCAGGAAAAAGGCTTGAAAACATCCAGTCCAGTTCCTGAATTGGTTCTGTGGCTTGTCAGCCCCCTTCTCATTTCACCCTGCACACTCTTTCTGGGGACCTCCCCAAGTTCTGGTATTTATTCTTCTCTGTGTGACCTCAACTGTCCCCTCATCTTCAGTCCAGATCTCTCTCCTGAAACGCAGACATGGTCAGCCAGAGGCCTGTTCAGCTTCTCTACCAGGACATCTCCTGGGCATGTCCAGAGGCAGCACTTTTCTTGAACGGACTCCGGCCCTCCCTGAGCTCTCTCTCAGCCAAAGACACACCAGCCTTGTAGCCCCTCATGAGAAACCTGGGTGTCCTCCTTTCCTCATCTTTCTTTCTCCTACATCCCATCCAGTCTATTTCCCATCTTATTGATTTACCTTCTCAGTACTAATTAGTTAGCTTTGCATCACTGTGACCAAAATACCTGAAAAGAACAACTTAAGAGGAGAAAAAGTTTCTTGGGGCTCATGGTTTCGAAGCTTTAGTCCATGGTCAGCCAAGTTCATTGCTCTGGGCCCAAGGAGAAGCAGAACATCATGGTGGAGGGCATAGCACGGGGAAGCTGCTCCGCTCAGGGTGGGAGGGAGAGGGAAGGAGGGAGCGGGCAAGAGGCCACAGAGAAGATGGACCTTTGCAGGGCATCCTCCAGTGACCCTCCTTTTCCAGCCACGCCCCACCTGCCTGACAGTTACCACCCTGTCAGTCCGTTTGTACTAGGATGGGCTGATCAGGTTGCAGCTCTCCTAATCATTTCACCTCCTAACATTCCTGCATTAATGTAGGAGCTTTGGGGGCATAACTCATATTCAAACCTGACCATTCCCCTGTCGGTCTCCTCCATCCCTCTGCTACTGTGGGGCTTCTTCTCTGTCCCCCTCCTTGCCACACAGCTGCCACAGGGATTCATGTTTAATGTTCCCCAGTGTCTCATCATTGCCTTCCCTTCAGTTCCTTAGCCTGGTTCCAAGGCTGCAGACTCCTCCAGCCTTAGGTGGACATCCTATCTGCTGTCTCCTCTGCTTCAGCCTAGCCCAGAGCTCTGGGGTTCCGCAGCTCTCACCTCTGTGATTTCCCACCACTACTGCCCTCTCTGTACAAAATGCCCTTCCATGTTTCTCTACCCCTTCCATTTCCTTTTCCATCTCGGCTTCACCTCCTCCAAGAAGACTTCCACAACCCCCCTCTCCCCTGGGTGCCCGCCTGGGTCCACCCTGTGCAAACTCCTTCCCATTTTGTTTCCTTCACTAGATCTAGAACCTTTCAGGACAAGGACGGTCATCCTCAGCCCCGTTTCCCTAGGAGTCTGGTAATATATTGTCCGTTAATTTTGACCGAATGCATGAAAGATTTTTCTGGTGGGTAAACTGAGGATCAGGGAAGTTTCCGACTAGCCCAAGTCATAGGGCTGATCATCCCGGAGCTGGGCCTGGAATCTGGGTCCCTGACTCAGGGTTCTCAGGGCGCCCGCGCCTGGGCAGAACCGCGGTGAGCCAGCGCAATATCCCAACCACCGCGTGACTCACGCGCGCGCACGGTTGCCCGCAGCTGCCACCGGTCCCCTTCGTCCCCCCGCCCCGCCCCAGATTAGAGGGTAAGGGGCCGGGAGCAGTATCAAGCGGGAGGAACCCGGACTGAGCTGCGAGCACCTTCCGCGGCCGGGCACCGGGAGTCCGGGGATACGGCGTCCCGCGCACCTCCCTGGCAGCCCGCAGCCGGCCCGGTGGCCGCTCGCGCGTGCGGGCTCGGGCGCCGCGGGAAGGGGAGGGGCCCTTGGTGGGGCCGGCGGGCGCGCGGGTCACGTGGTGCGGGTGGCAGCGGCGGCGGCGGCGGCGGCGGCATCGGTGCGCGCGGGCAGGGCAGCGCGGCGCCGAGCGAGCCGAGGCGAGGTCCCGGGCGGGCGCGGGGCGCAGGGAGGCGCGGCGGGGCGGCGGGCCAGGCGGGTGGGCCGAGAGCGCGGAGAGGCGAGGCCCGGCTGCAGGGGCCGCTCGGCCCAGGGGAGCCTGCGCCCCGCTCAGCCTTGCATCCCCGCGCCCTGAGCATCTCCCGGAGGAACAGAGACAAAGGAGGATTCATGTCCAAAGGTAGGGCGGCCAGCTGGGCCACCGGCGCCCGCCGGGAGGAGGTGCGCCCCACCCCCCCCACCTCCCGAGCGCGGCCAGAGGCGCTACCAGGGGGAGGGTTGCAGCGCCGAGGAGCCCACGCGCGGTGACATATGCATGGACAGACGCACACACTGAGACAGTCTCGGAAAAAAGCACAAAGAACGCGGAGACCCACGCACGCAAGCAGGGACCCGTATTCTCAACAAAAACCCCACGCTGGAGCACGCCAAGACACGCACACACATGTACACCATGCACAGGTACCAGGGCCACCTCCAGCCTATAAGAGACCTGTGCGCTGACACTTCAGTCCCCTTCCCCCAATTCAGATAGGCACAGCTGAGGCAGGCACCAGCTGGTGGTCTCCAGGGAAACTCGTTGGCCTTCTGAGTTCTGGGAGGCGACGGGGTGTCCCAGAGGCCCTTTGCTTCTGCGAATGGGAAGGATTAAGGCATCTGTTGTGATTCCCAACTCCCAAGGCTGGAGCCAATGGACTGGACTTGCCCCTGCAGGTGGAGGTGGGGTCTTGAAGACTGCTGGGGACTAGGGAAGACCCCCAGCTTGGGAGGGAAAAGGGGGCATCTCTAAGTCAGGGAGGCAGGTGCTATTCTGGAAAGGTCCCCTCCTCCTACTGTCACCTTCCCAACAGAGGGGTGGGGTCCCTGGGCCAGACAAAGACAAAGCCAATCATTTTCCTGTACAAGAAAGCACCAGCATGTGTGCGAGCCATGGAGATGGAGGCGCTGCTCTATGGGGCAGAGCTGAGTCAGGTGGAGAGTGTCTCTCCCTGGAGCACTGATGGGGCAGGTGGCTCCTAGCAGGAGGTGCTGCAGATCGATCCCCTCCTCTCCAGGGCCCCTGGAAGAGCTGGGATCTTAGGAGGGGTCCAAAGAACCATCTAGCCAGGATGACATACTTGAGCTCCATCCTCTTATGACCCCCATCCTGAGCTCTTCCCCACCCTGGAGGGTCTTCCTTCAATTTCTGTTACAGGGGAGGGTGGAGATATCCTCCCCTCTTGGTATCAGGGATTGAACCCAGAGGTGCTTAACCACTGAGCAACATCCCCAGCCCTTTTTATATTTTATTAGAGACAGGGTCCCACTGAATTGCTTAGGGCCTCTCTATTGCTGAGTCTGGGTTTGAACTCGAGGTCTTCCAACCTCAACCTCCCAAGCCGCTGGGATTATGTGCGTGAGCCAGTGCGCTGGGCAAGGAGATCTCTCTTAACAGGTCTGCCCTCCTTGACTGTGGCTGAGTGTCAGCTGCTCTGCTCAGGGGCAGCATCTGAGGGGGGAGAAAGGTGATGGTCCTGAAGTGACACCTGCTTTGCCCTGGGGTTTCCATTCATTCATGGGTGCTCACTGTGGAATGCTAAGTACATTAGGCACCAAGATCAATAAGACACAGCCCTTGCCCTGTCCTGAAGAAGTGTGGAAGCCAGCATATATTTGGTGCCAGTGAACTTATGTTCAGGATTTTGTTTTTGCTTTTATTTATTTGTCTATGATTTTGTATAGCCTTCACAGTAACCTGGAAAGGCATGTACTGTCCCCGCTTTTCGGAGGAGAAAACTGAGGCTTACAGAAGTCACCTTGCTAGAATTTAAGCCTGGGTCAGCTGCCCATGTGAAGCTGGCCTGGTACGACCAGGAGAGCTATGGGGCAGAGGATGGAGCTACAGAATCCAACTCCAGAGCAACATTTATTTGGTGCCCCAGAGGTCTTGGTGGCTTTGTTAGGCACCCTCACCAGACAAGTGGGCCCCTGGGGGCAATGACCTTGCCTGGTGTACTTAAGTGTCCTTGGCATTGAGTGTAGGGCTTGGCTGAAGTAGGCCTGCAGTTGACAGCATATGAAATGGCCTGGTTGGGGTTGGAATGATGGAATGAATGAGTGTCATGTGTGAACAGATGAGGGACAGCACAGAAGAGGGACACCCACATCAGACAGGAAAATAGAAAGTAGGAGTTAGCCAGGAGTTGGAGAGGGTACAGGGTCTTCCATCAAAGTTTGTGGCACAGTGACCTGTAGCACATATTTAGGACTTGTAGCTGATCAGTGGGTGCTTATAGTCTAGGACTGGCATGTGGTCAGGAGGAGGCTGACTTGCCAGTAGGTGCTCTGGATGGGGCACAGTGGGTGCTAATACGTCCTCACTAGAGGAGTAAAATATGAGATGTGCCCACAGCCTAGACCTGCAGCAGGCCTGCTGTACCCCCGGAAGTAATTTGGGAATCTGGTAGCCCAGTCTCTCATAAGGGTCTGTCTTTTGGGAATGCTTTCTTAGGATGACAAGCCAGGGCTGAACAGGCCATGAGGACAAATGCTTTACAGGCATCCTTACCCCTCCCATGAATAAGTCTAAGGCTCACCTACCAGGTCTGTAATTGGAGTAAAACCTCTGGTCCCTGCCCCACCTTACCACCAAGTGGGTCTCACAATACAGACTGTAGAGGCCAAATGGGCTCAGCTGATGCGCAGGAGGGAAATGGGAAGGGCCAGCCTGTGTGAGCAGCTGGCCAGGAGAAATGGGGCATTGGCCCCCCATGCAGGTGTGCTGTGTTCAGGGCATGAGCCACGTGGGTGAGCAGAGGAGCAGGGCCAGGCTGCTTGGAGTCAGCTGCTGCAGGGCTGAGCCAATCTTGCTGCCGTCTGGAGCAGCCTGGCTGGCGTACCTTCCTGGGAAGCAAGAAGGAGCTTCGCCAAGCCCTGGGGAGGTCCTAAGGCTTTGTCAGATCTTGCTGTGTTTGGGAGTGACAGGAGAAAGTGGGGAGTGACAGTTTCCTGTGGGGAGAGAGGGTCTTGCCAGTACCAGTGAAAGGACCAGGTAGGGGGTGGGTACAAGAGCAGACTCCTGACTGGGCTTGAGGGGTAGGGAGGGAGGCATTCCTGTCCCCTCTCCCTCCTGCCCATCTGCTGCTCCAGCAGGCCTTCCTGTAAGGCTGAGACTGCAGGGTGGTGATTCTGAACCACAGAATTCTAGAATGGCAAAGCTGGGAAGGCATCCGCCAGAGAGCAGGGAGTCTAGTAACTGTGCTCGTGAAATTAGCATCTGGGGCACCTTCTTTCACAAGTGATTTCACAGGCACTGCTTCATCTCTCCTCCAGGTAAGCTGGTGACCTTGAAAGGGGCAGGGGAAAGTGGGTCTGGGACTTTGAGGCACCTGCTCAGTGCTTCTGAGCATCACATCTCATGCAATGCTCATCACAGCCCTAGTGATGATCTTGCTGTTCTACAGAGGAAGAAGCAGACTCAGGGGTCTGCTCAGGTCCACAAAGCTGACCAGTAGCAAAGCCAGTGTCTTTCTGCTTCACTCACACATCCATTTTATGGATGGGGAAATGGAGTTGCTCTGTTCTAGAACCTACCCTGGTGGACAGTGGCCTGATGGGGCACTCACAGATTTCTGCTGTGTGTGAACATACTCAGGGTCTGCCAGACCCAGGGGGAAGGGCTGTTTCCTCAGCCTCACATTTCTCCCATGCTATGTTATCTTAGGCAAATGACGGATTTCATCAGAGTATCGTCCCCTGCTCACCGGACCCACTGACTCTAAACTATAGCTAGGAGGGTGTCTGGGGCTCCTACAGATACCTCTACTTTGCAGCTTATGGAACAGAGGGGACATTGAGGCTGGGAGGTGAAAGAGATGCTCTCTGCAGAGAAAGGTGGCCCTATTTGCTTCTGAAGCATGAAATAGTTGAGGTCAGTGACAGTCAATAGATGTGGGCTGCAGGATTCTCGAGTCTTTGTCCTTTATTTGTCAAGACAGGACTTGGGTCTGGAAAACCCCAGGCACTTCTTAGGTCAGTGGTTCTCTACCGGGGCAATGCCCTCCAAGGGGACATTTGGTACTGTTTAGAGACATTTTTGATTGTCACAAATGGTGGGCTACTGGCATTGAGCAGAGACCAGGGATACCACTAGGCATCCTACAGGGCGCAGGCCAGCCCCCACAATAAAATATTATCCAAATGTCAGGAGTACCAAGGTGGAGAAGCCCTGGGTTTAGATGCACAGATGTGCTTTGGTGCTGTGGAGTGTGTTTGAAAGTGATCAGCAGCTGGAGAACCCAGTGCTGGTGCAGGTTTTCCACGTGACCTGGCCTGTGTTCTTCAGCAAGTCCTTCCCTCTCTGGGCCTGACTCTTCATCTATGCATTGAGGGGTTCAGGCTAGGTAATATTAAGGTCCCTTCTAGTCCCACTCCACACTACTCCATATGAAGAGAAAAATACTGTGGCTTCCATGTGACCTCTGCTTTCCTCCCACCCACCCCACCTGCCCCTCCCACCTTGGCTTTGCAGGGCTCCCAGAGACCAGGACGGACACAGCCATGTCAGAGCTGGTGCCTGAGCCCAGGCCTAAGCCGGCAGTGCCCATGAAGCCCGTCAGCATCAACTCCAACCTGCTGGGCTACATTGGCATAGACACCATCATTGAGCAGATGCGCAAGAAGACCATGAAGACTGGTTTTGACTTCAACATCATGGTTGTTGGTATGAAGCCATGGGGTCATTGGAGGGCCTGGCAGCAGGTAGCACTAAGGATCCTATTTCTGTCCCCAGAATGGCCTCAGCCCTGGCTTCTCTAGGAAGAACTCTCTCTAGGAGTGAGAATATTGCCATGCTGACCACAAAGGCCTGGGTACCTTCTTCCATTAGGGATGGCAGCTTGGGTGGGTGGCCAGCCTGTTCTGCCTTCAAGTGGGTTCAGACAAGTAGCCTCTCCACCAGTCCAAGCTGCTTTCAGGTTTGTGGCAGGGGAGAATCATTAGTGCCCTTCCCCACCTCCAAGAGCTGGTGGGAGGATTGGTGAAAGGTGGTCTTATTTCGAGTCTTTCATAGAGCTTTAAAATTGAAAGGGAATTTGCAGAGATTTGGTCACTAAATAGCATCATTGGGTCACTCAGTGCTGAAACAGGGAACTAGGCATCTTCTTTCTTCCCTTTTCCTTCCTTATCCCCAGTATAATCAATCATGGAGTCCTGTCCCTTTTCCATGGTCAATATTTCCAAGTCTGGGCTTGGGCTGTGGCTCAGTGGTAGAGCGCTTATCTAGTAGCATGTGTGAGGCACTGGGTTTAATTCTCAGCACCACATAAAAAGAAATAAATAAAATAAAGGCACTGTGTCCATCTATAACTAAAATATGTGTGAGTATATATATATATATATATGTGTGTGTCTATATATATATTTATTTATATATGTCTGTATTAAGTATCTATCCCAAGTCTGCCCACTTCTGTTCATCCCCCACTATTGCCTTAGTCAAGCTAGGTCTGCCACCTGGATTGCCATGGCCACTTGTACTACTCAAAGTGCTGACCTTCAGGTTTGTGCTTAAGAACTTGGCCCAGGGTGAAACATCAAACAGGGACACAGTTGATTTACCTTGTAGCACAAAACTCTTATCTCAAGAACCAGTAACAAATGATTTGTGGACCCGGGAAGCCAGACCATAGGCCACACTTGGAGTGACACCAGTCCTTCTGGTTCTGTCTCTCCCTCTAATTCATCATCAAGTTACCCATGCTACTTACATCCCATTACTGTCCCCTCTTTTAACCTCAAGACTCCTATTCTGGCCTGCTCTAACTCAAGACCACTATTCTACTCCTGCTCTAACTCATCTCTTACCACATCCCACCCAGCATTCTTACTCCTCGATCTTGTGGAACAGTTCTCCTCGACTTGCCACACTCATTTCTACCTCTGAGCCTTTGCATGTGCCATTCGCTCCGTCTAGAACTCCCTTCCTGCTTCTCACGGCTCATTCAAAGTCACCTTTCAGGTTTCAGCTTCATTGTTGCTTACTCCTAGAAGTCTGTCTTCCTTAATCCCAGAAAGACTGGATTGTATTCCCTTTATAATGCTGTTATAACACCTGGTGGTTCTCTCTTTCATAGTGCTTATCATATTGTAACTGTGTGCTTATGTTTTGGTCCCTTGCAACAAAAGGCTCTTTGAGAATTGGGATGGTGTCTGAGCCAGGTCTAAGTGGGATTGTGAAAGCCATCTGCCCTCCCCTGCTGGGCCTCCAATTCTAGGACAACACTTAAGAATACTTAATGAATGCTAGGTGCTGTGGTGGTCCATGCCTGCAATCTCAGCAACTCGGGAGGCTGAGGCAGATGGATTGCAAGTTTGAGGCCAGTTTGGACAACTTAGTGAGAACCTGTCTCAATATGATAAAATAGGTTGGAGGTGCAGCTTGGTGGTAGAGCACCCCTGAGTTCAATCCCCAGCACAGAAGCAAACAGATAAGCAAACAAACCCCCAAACAACAAAAAGAGAAAAAATAACAACAACAAAAAAATTCATCTGTGTAGTACTACCTAAAAAGAAAAGGAAGAAAAAGAAAAAAGAAAGACTCCAATATTGAATGAACAAATGATCCTAGAAAGCATCCCAGACCAAGAATAGCAAATGCAGGTTGTGTATCCTTTATCTGAAATATTTAGAACCAGTTATGTTCTAATTTGGGACTTTAAAGAAATTCTTAGATTAATTTCGTTCATTTTACCAGTTGAATGTCTCTAATTTGAAAATCTAAAATCTGAAATGCTCCAAAAATCTAAAACTTTTTGAGCATCATGTCAGCACTCAAAAAGTTGTAAATCTTGCAGCATTTGGACTTCCGATTTTCAGTTTGAGATGTCCACCCTGTACAAGACATGTGGGACACTCCTTCCCCATGGCAGACCTTGCTGGTCACTCAGGGTCATGTCCAGTACTGAGCCCAGCTGTAGCCATTTTAACATAATGGTCTAAGGGGCTTCTGCCCCCTGACCAGCTGGAATGAGAGAAGGCCCCTTACTTGCCATCATTGGCCTCATGCAGTTCCCTCCCTCCTCATCTTATCAGTAAATAAATTAAGACCCCGCAGTGCTGTGGGGGCAAACCTGACTCCAAAGGTACTCAGGGAAAACAGCACAGGTGGGTCTAAACCCTAGGGGCTCTTGCCTCCCATTCTGGTCTTTTTACTCCAGACCAGAACTTCCTGGACTTTAGTGTCCATATGATTCTTCTGGAAGCCCAGCTAAGCTGCAGGTTCTGAGTCATGGATCTGTGGCGGGGCGTGCAGGGAACACTGATGCTGCTCTTCAGTTGCAAGCCTCCCTGGTGTGATTCTCGTGCATGTTAGAGTTGGGAAGCACTGCTCAGACCCACGGTTCCCAAAAGTGTTTTAGTGATAGAACTTCTTGGAGGACACACTGTGGCAAGACTGCATGGGGAATACAGGTGCAGAGAGAGCCAAAGTGAAGGAGCTGGAGGTGGACACTGAGACCCTGCCTGCCCACTTCCCCTTCTCTTGCGGTCCCCACTCTGGCATGGATCTCCAACAGGACTTTTTTGTTGTTGTTGTACTGGGATTGAACCCAGGGCCTGAGTACAATTTAAAAACCACTACGCTAGAATAAAGAGTGGATATGGAGCCACTAGGTTTTTGGGTTCAAGTCCCTGGTCTTGCATTTACTAGTTAAGTTGCCTTACACACATTGTGTGTCAGAAGAGGATTAATCTCTCTAGGGCCTTCTCTACTGGGGATAAAGATAGCTCTGCTGTGTGACTTACAGGCCTGACAAAAAGACAGATTTTGCTAACAGATGTGAAAGTGCTTAGGCACTATGAGGTGGCATCAGAAATGCAAAGTAATTCTGCTTTTACTTTTAGTATATTAAAGACAGAAAGCTTGAGTCAAGCAAAAGAGCAAACCAAAACAAAACCCCACCACATTAGACAGATGCAGATGCTGTCCCCTCTCCCAGTGGTTCTGGGGCCCCAGGAAAGAGAGACTATACGATCCAGTGGCGAATCCCAAGGCCCTCTCCAGTAAGCAGGATGGCATTCCCATCTGCCTGCTGTCCCCACTCAGCCCCTCCATCCTTTGGTGAGTGGCCTGGATCATAGCCTTGGAATTCTGGAAGCTGGGAGAACTGAGAGCTCAGGAGGTGGACGTGGTCTCTCTCTACCTTGTCTTCCTCCTCCTGCCTTGCTGCAGGCCAGAGTGGACTGGGCAAGTCAACGCTGGTCAACACGCTGTTCAAATCCCAGGTGAGCCGCAAGGCTTCCAGCTGGAATCGGGAGGAGAAGATCCCCAAGACGGTGGAGATCAAAGCTATTGGGCATGGTGAGGACCAGGCGGGGACCCCTCTGGGCTTTGTTCAGAGGTGGATGATGGGGGAAGGAATGAGGCATATTGGGGAATGAAACCTCATGATGGAGCAGAATTAAGCACTAAACTCCACAAAGCCAACCCCTTAGACTGCTAGTCCAGGGAAGGGAGAGAGGGCCTGGGATGGAAAGAAGGGGGCCTTGAGCTGGGTGGTGAAGCACAGGTAGGATTTAGACATAGAAGTAGGAAGAAACGGGGAGGGGGAGACCCTAAACTTACCTTTTCCAATAACTAGTCCTGAAGAAAAGAGGCCTGGCTCATAGGCTGCGGGGCATTGGGGTCAGCTATAGGACTGACTTCTCTGATGCCTTTTCTATTCATCCCTCAGTAATAGAGGAAGGTGGTGTCAAAATGAAGCTGACTGTCATCGACACCCCGGGCTTTGGAGACCAAATCAACAATGAAAACTGGTATATGTCTGCCTCTGAGATTTCTGCCCTAAGTCCTCTGCTGGGAAGACATGAACATGGTGCAGATTCATTCATGCTGAGAACCATCTGCATCCTCCATGTTCTGCAGGTTCCTAGAGTCCAGGCAGAGGCTAGGTTCCCTGGGGAGTTCTATCCTTGCCAATCATCCTTGGAAAGCCATTTGAGGGGGTGGGCAGATGGAGAATAGGCAGATATCCTAGACCCACCAGGGGAGGTAGGACACAGGGTAAGTGTGAGGGGTTGTGATCTGACTGTGTCAAGATGAGTTCCTGGATCCTGTCCTTCTGCTACATTCCATTTATTTATTATTTTTTGGGGGGTGCTGGGGATTGAACTCAGGGGCACTTGACCACTGAGCCACATCCCCAGCCCTATTTTGTATTTTATTTAGATACAGGGTCTCACTGAGTTGCTTAGGGCCTTGCTGTTGCTGAGGCTGGCTTTGAACTTTTGATCCTCCTGCCTTAGCCTCCCAAGCCACTAGGATTACAGGTGTGTGCCACTGCGCCTGGCTACATTCCATCAACTTTTTCTCTCCTCTCAGCTGGGAGCCCATTGAGAAGTACATCAATGAACAGTATGAGAAGTTCCTGAAGGAGGAGGTGAACATCGCCAGGAAAAAGCGCATCCCTGACACTCGCGTCCACTGCTGCCTCTACTTCATCTCCCCCACTGGACACTCGTATGTACCACCCCCACCTCTACTGCTAGGCCTGACTCTGGTTTGTATCAGCCTGTCCTGAATTGGGTAATCAATACCTGGATACCAGCTAAGGGCCATTTCAGGGGCCCAGAGGGACTTGAATACAGTCATGACCTTGGGATTTCCCAGAATTTCCACAAGAAAGTCTCACTTTCTTACCAGGAAGGTAAAACTGACCACCATCTGCCTCCATACTGCCCACTGGTATCCCAGCACAGCATGACTGTACCAGAGAAGTTGCTATATGTGAGCAGAAGGCATCTCATTAGTTCAAAAATTCTTGCTTTGGATAAAGCTTGGGGTCTAGGGGAAACAAAAGGGGTGAAATAGGGAGAGGCAGGGCTATTAGATTGGGGCTGATATTTTGGTAGGATGTGGGACCTAGCCAGAGGCATCTGAAAGGTGGCCAGCTGGGAGCTAGGAGTCTAGAGAAGGCTGAGCACGCAGAACGTGCTGGGAACTCAGATTGTGAGTTGCAGGTGGGCCCCAGATGGTCAGGTGTGGGAATAGGCTGAGGTCAGAGATCCTATTGGTATCTCAAGCAGCCTTCCTATGTGACCAGCGTGTGTCTCGTAACTCATTACGAGTCCTGGGGCAGAGTTCAGTTCTTGAGAACAGCACCAGCAGGATAGGCCCCAGTGTTTGAAGAAAACATACTCAGCAGAGTTCAGCGATGGGGAAGGAGGGATATGAAACAAGAACCTTGGGCCGGGCAGGACCTCAGTAAAGGTTGACTTTATCCCTCCCTAGACCTTGATCCGCGGTCAGAGGGAACCATCTGAAAACCTGACTTAATGAGTACCCCAGGTTGCAAACTAAAGCCAGGTTGGGGCCCCAGAGCCTCAGGTTGGGGAGGAGCAGGCCTTCAGACTAGGGGAGGGACAAAGCCCCCAACTGGGCCCTGCAGAACTAACTTTGGGACCTGGGAGGAGGCCCATACATAAGAGCAGTCCCACAGGCAGAATAAGACACACAAGTAACCGTGACACAAGGACACATGGATGGGGACAACCACCCACAGATGTTTCCAGGAGAAAGAAATCCTTAGGTCAGAAAAGGTGTCAGGAGTGTGTGGGGACAACCTAAGGAGAGGCAGAATTTGCATGGATACAAGGAAGAAAGGTGGGGGAGGGACTGCGTGCAGGTGGAAGAATTGGGGCCAGTCTGCAGATGGTCAGTGATGGTGTGTCAGAGAGGAGAGGCTGCAGTCTCGTGGCCTCAGCCAGATTCCTAGCCCAGTCCTCTCCCAAGGAGGTGCCCCGAGAGGTAGCAGTGGCTAGGGTAGATGGCAGGTGGTTCTGACACTATCGCCTTCTCTGGGCCACAGCTTGCGACCCCTCGATCTCGAGTTCATGAAACACCTCAGCAAGGTGGTGAACATCATCCCTGTCATTGCTAAGGCTGACACTATGACCCTGGAGGAGAAGTCTGAATTCAAGCAGAGGGTAAGAAGGCCCCCTTTCTCCTTTTCCTGCCTCCAACACTTCCTTGCTCTCCTCCAGGTCCAAGCCATCTCCTAGCTCTCATCACCCCCCCCCACCCGTCCTCCCCCAGCTCCTCCCCCAGCTCCTCCCCCAGCACCTAATGAACCATTCAGAAGGCTGGGGCTGGCGGTTCTGGGGACCAAAGGCAAGAAGCCAGCGCTGCTCCTGCTGCCTTCCACTCCACAGCTGGCTGAGGAGACCACTGGATACACAAGTGTCTGCGAACACAAAATCTTACTCCTGAGAAGTCAGGTTACTTGAAGGACTAGACTAATCAGTCAACTGCCTGCTAGTCCTCAGTGACGTCATCTATACACCCCGCCTACAACTGGCTGGATGCCCTGGAGGGCAGAGGAGGGTGTGTACAAGCCAGTGCAAAGATAGTTGCTGCTTTTAAGAGAATTATAATCAAACGGAATGCTGAAGAGGTCCCGGATGACCTCCTGGAGGAGGGGACTTAAACAGGCCTTGAAAGAAAGCAAACAGGAGCTTGGGGCGGGAGCCTCACCACTCTTCCTTATGGGCAGGAATACAGCATGCAGGCCATGAGCACCGCCCAGTGGCATTTGGACTTAGGTGTGCTATTTGTTCAAATCCTAGACTCTGGGATGAGCACACTGGTGTGCCTGAGACTTCCTCCTCTCCGGCTGGGCGGTGATAATTACCGTTATGTAGGATCTTCCTGCTGTCCATGGCCTCAGAGTGCAGAGAGGACTGGCATCAAAGGCTGGGTGCATCTCTGACTCCACCACACACACCGTGTATGTGCTCATGGACACACCACACACACACACACACACACACACACACACACCCCTACCTCACACTCACATGCCCTTTTTTCTATGACAACACTTGACCACCTTACTTCTCCCCACCAGGTTCGAAAGGAGCTTGAAGTAAATGGGATTGAATTCTACCCGCAGAAGGAATTCGATGAGGATCTGGAGGATAAGACGGAGAACGACAAAATCAGGGTGGGTGTCCGGGCTCTGTTCATCCCACGGATGCTCCTAATGCCCCTGGGACCTATGTCATGTGCCTCCTCTGTCTTTCCACCTTTCCTCCTCTGTCTTTTCTCTATATCCGTGTGCCACCTTGTCTGACCAGAAGTGACATGGGACAAGGAGGACAATGGTCCTGGCCAGGACTATGAACCCACAGAGGGGCTCCCTGCCCCCAGAAAGCCAGGGTTCCCTTCCAATCTCAGACCACACAAAAGCACCCTCTTCCCCACAAGTCTGGCAAAGTCCGTGTGTGGTGAGGCGGGACACCAAACAACAGAAACACGGGGAATCTGGGTTCTACTCAGACGCTGCCTGGGTTTCCTCCTCAGTAAAATGCAGAGGCTAGACTAGGTGAGTGGCTTATTGGCTTGTTCACTCCTTAGAAGAATTCCTTTTTTAAAAAATTATTTTTAGTTGTAGATGAACATGATACCCTTTTTTTATGTATTTATTTATTTATTTTTATGTGGTACTGAGAATCGAACCTAGTGCCTCACACTTGCTAGATGAGGGCTCTACCACTGAGCTAAAGAACTCTTAGAAAATTAAATCTCAGGACTCCCATATACAAAACCTAAGAGCAAAGCTGTGTTGACACTTAGCCCTGCCTTCCCAGCTGCTTCTAGGATACCTGCTGAAGACCTGAAGGAGACCCCTGGGCACGACATGTTTCAGGAACTGGCTTAGAAACTGTCAGCCTGTGTGATTCCTAGGGTTCTTCTCAATTCCAAATTTCTACAATTCCATAATTCTGCATCAGAATCCTGGAATCTAGTCTGGGTTTTTTCAGATTCTCAACTGAAACCTGAGACACAACCCTCGCTGCTTTGGTTTTGAGTTCCCTCCTCCATCAAGGGTGGGTAATCTAGCAGAAGCCCCTTACCTGATATAGTTGGAACAGATAGTTAATTGAAAAAAAAGAATCAACTTGAATGAGGGAATCACTTTTTTAAAAAGAGGTATATAAATCTTGACTGTTTAAAAATAAATATTTTATGAAATTAAATTAACAAAACATACATCATATTTATCAAACACTTTTCATGTAGATCCAAGGCCTCTTCTCTGAGAATAAGTCCACTCTTTTGAATTTTTTCTTGAGGTGCTGAGGACTGAACCTCAGCTGAGGTACCTCCAGCCCCCAAAGTCTACTCTTAATGTCAAAGCAGTTTACATTTGTAAAGTCTTTCTGAAATATTTAACTTAATTTTTATAGAAACAACTCTCTACGTGCATATGACCTCAGCCTACACCTATAGTCATGTGCTGCATAACTATGATACAAGTGACAATCCTCCCATACATTGATATCACCTAGTGATATAGTCTCTTAGTTTGTGTAAGTACATGCTATGACGACTATACAACACAATCAGCCAGGGACACATTTCTCAGAATCTACCCTGTCATTAAGCAATGCTTGACTAGTTAATTCATCCAATGACAATAATAAGTATACCTCAGGCAAATACATTTGGGAACAAACAACTGGCACTTGGCAGACGTACAACTCACCCGGTGGAGCAGAAGGGGCCTGGTGCCTGAGAGTTCAGCAGACACGGGTATCTGCCAGTAGGTTTCATAGGACACAGCATGAGGCATCAGTGAGTCTGGCTGACACTTGAGTGGGTGTTGCTAGATTGCAAGGCTGTTCCAAATCAAGCAAAATGTGTTTTAAAGCACTATGAAATGTACAAAGTGCACTCCGGGAAGTGACTTCCTGAGGTTAGCCAGCCATGCAGTATATTCAGGGTTTAACCCAGGACTTCTGCCTCCTAGCTCAGTGCTCTTTTCAAGGGAGAGAGCCTTTCTCTTGCCATCAATAGTATCACCAAATGAGCATCCTAAATGTGTGGCTCAAGGGTAGGCAGCCAAGGCCATTTGCTGCCCTGACTTTGACATTCTGGTCATAGGGGGATGACTGTGCACATGTGTCTGGTTTGTGTTTTTGCCCCTGTCCAGCAGGAGAGCATGCCCTTCGCTGTGGTGGGAAGTGACAAGGAGTACCAAGTGAATGGCAAGAGGGTCCTCGGCAGAAAAACTCCCTGGGGGATCATTGAAGGTAATTAAATGCATTTTCTGGGAGAACCGGCTGCTGATCAATTATCCAGTCATTTGTTCAGCCATCTGGGGTCAGGGCTGTGTCCTGAGATAATGTGATATACAACAAATGCCCATCAGATCCTGTCCATAAGGTGCGTACAGTCTAATTGAGAAGATGATGCTCACAGGTAGGAAGCAATGAGATCCATTTAGTACCTGACCAGGGGGCACCAACTTGGTGTATCAGAGGGGTTCAGAACACAGATTAGCAAGGACTGGAAAAAACAGAGGAAGGTTTCATGTGAAGGAGGATGTGATCTGGCAGAGTACTGAAGGGCGGCCCGGATATTGCCTTTTCCATTTAGTTGTGAATTAATGTGACCTCAGGCAGGTCATGATGATTCAGAAAGTTTGCGAAGAACAGCTTCAGGGGTCTCAGTTGATGTGATAACCCTACAAGGGGAGCAGGGCAGGGGTTCCTGCCTCAGAACGAAAGCTTCTGAGGCACTGCAGTCTCAGACAAGTTAAGTGCCTTGCCTGGCGTCACACAACTTTTTGTGTGTGTGGTTCTGGGGAGCGAACCCATAGCCTTGCACATGCCATCACAGAACTTAGTGGTGATTCTTGGATTTCAGATAATGTGATCCCAAACCAAAGCTCAGCCCTTTGTTTTGAATTATCTCTTGTTTTCCTGTAACCCACTTTTGGGATTTTTATTTTTTAAATATTTTATTTTTAAAAATTTTGTGGGGGGGAGTGCATGGTAGGCAATTACCCTACCACTGACAGACTACATTATCCAGTCCTTTTAATTTTATTTTAAGACAGGATCTTGCTCATTTTCTCTGGCTGGCCTCAAACTCATGATCCTCCTGCCTCAGCCTCAGGAGTAGCTGGGATTATAGGTGCTTGCTACCATGCCTGACCGAGCATCAACTTTTAAAGATGGCTTGATTGTTCTATGTGTATCACTTTCTTTCAGTTATATTATAAGTTCCAAGGATAGGAATTGTATCTTAGGCCTTGACAAGTTTCTTAGACTCCTTGTGTGTTAGTTTTCTCTTCTGTAAAATGAGAAAAATAACAGTTCTTGTTACTCTACAGAGTCTGGAACAGTATCCTGTCTGTTGTATCCTGATGCTTAATAAATACCTGTTCAATAAAAAAAATCCAGGGAACTAGGTTGGGGATGTGGCTCAGTGGTAGAGTGGCCCTGGTTTGATCTCCAGCACCACACATACACAAAAAAATCCAGGACACTGAAGTAAGCAAAATATAAAACAACCTGTCCTATGCTCTTTTTTTAAAAATATTTTTTAGTTGTCAATGGACCTTTATTTTATTTGTTTAGATGTGGTGCTGAGAATCAAACCCAGTACCTCACACATGCTAGGCAAGCGCTCTGCCACTGAGCCACAACCCCAGCCCCCACGCTCTCTTTAAATGCCTCCGTGACCCAAACAGAGGTTTACCTCCTGGATGTGGATTCATGAAATGACACCTGTTTTCTTTTGTTTTGTTCATAGTGGAAAACCTCAACCACTGTGAGTTTGCCCTGCTTCGAGACTTTGTCATCAGGTAAGACTTTGTCATCAGGTTTTGACCCGGATGTCAGCTTAACTATTTGGTGTCCAGGGCCATCTGTTCAGATTTACTACTTCCTGGGACTCCAGGTGTCTGCTAGAGCTTTCTGTTCCAGTTCCAGCTCCTGCCTCAAAGCAGAAGGGGCTTCAGAAGGGGCTTTCTGGAATGGGTCCCAATCACTGGGTCCAGTTTGTTGACGTGAAGTGTTAACCTCAGAGGTGGGTCATCTCCTCCTCTTGCTGCCCCTAATTTCATCCCCCTTTTTTTCTCACCCTGTGTCCTTCAGGACCCACCTCCAGGACCTCAAGGAAGTGACACACAACATCCACTATGAGACTTACAGGGCCAAGCGGCTCAATGACAATGGAGGCCTCCCTCCGGTGAGCGTGGACACAGAGGAAAGCCACGACAGTAACCCCTGATGACCCCCTTTCTGTGTCGTCACACATACCCACTCCTCCATACACACACATCCCAAGTACCACCTCCAGCCACTTCTTCCTTCAGCTCTGTCCCACAGGCCTGTCTGGTATTTGTGGAACATCTTGTCTACATTGTGTATGTGTATGCGTGTGCGTGTGCATGTGTGTGTATGAGAGAGGAAATGAGTGTGTGTGTGTGTGTGTGTGCGTGTACGCGCGTGTGTGCACAGGGACGAGGTATTTTTATTGCCTTCCCTGAAAAGTCCCTTGTAAGTGTGGATCCTCATGAGTGTCTTCTTTCCTCATGTCCCAGAACAAAGCTGTGCACCTCACTCCAGAGGTCTGGGAAGGTTAGACACAGATGCTGGGAGCAGGTGACCCACAGGACAGTAAACTCCTTTTTACTTCTGTCCTTGTCCACAAACTGGGGCTGCAGAAATTCTCCAAGGACAGGTGGCTGAGCTAGACTGGGTGGTGGCGGGAGGGAGTTCAGGGCATCTTCCCTGTGAGTTGGGGTGGCCCTGGGTAAGGTGGGGACGTCCTGGGAAAAGGAAAAGGACGTTCACAGGGAGCACAGAACTGTGTCTGAGCTGGGTTCCTGCAGAAAGAACTGGTGCCTGAAAGTGGAGTACACCCTTTGGTCTGTGTCAAGGTCACTGTTCAAAAGCTACCACGTCACCATCAAAGACTGCTGCTTTTCCTTGCTCACCTGGCTTTTGTTCCCAGGCTGGTTTCCTGCCTCTGCTTTCTCTCTTTCCCCCTTTCCCTCCCTTCTTCATGTATCCCTTCTCCCTCCCTCTCCGGCCTGTCCCTGACATTTTTCACTTCCTTTTAGAGGAGTCCACTTAGCTTCATTTCTATATTTAGAATTGATGCCCAGTCTAGTACCAAAAAGTAACTTTAGGTCACCCTAAAGTAAGATCACAAGTAAAAGCACTTCGAAGTACAATCTGAGATTACAGGAGGAATCAGAGCCATAGGGAGAAATGGGAAAGAGTTTCCCCAGTCGAGACACAAAATTGGCCGTGAACTTGTGGGGCAGCACAAGGCAAAGAAAGAAGTGGGGGGGTTCTGCAGTTGACAATTAGAGGAACACATGTGCTGGTAAAATGAAGCAGCTTTTTTTTTTTGTGGGGGAAGGGGTGAGGGCATTAAATTCTAGAACAACCAATTCCAATGAAGTATCAGAAAAATGTACAATGTACACTGTTTCTCAGTGGTTTGGCTTCCAGGATGGATTTTAGACCACACTTCCCTTTTTTCCATCAGACTTCTGTCTCTGTTGAGCTGGCTTCTCTGTGGCTCCCTTTGTCTCAGACTTACTTGACTCCTTCTTCTCTGTTCTTTACTTTTGTTCTAAAGTGAATTGCAATTGTGTTTGTCTTTCTCTTTCTCACTCCACACCCCTCCTCCTGACTCCTGTAGACATTCCCGGTGACACCCCTAATCAGACATTCAGCCTTTTCTTACCTTCCCATAGCCCTGTATTTATTAACACAGATACTTCCCCCTGTTTATTATACAAATAAGTTATTCTTTTTCCTTTAATCTGTAAGATTGCTGAAATTTGGGGCTGAGGGAGCCATTTAGCCTTAGGAAAGGAAAAAAACCACCAAGTAATACTGTTTACAACTTTATCCAACCTCCTGTCCCACAGCCTGGTCTAAAGTAGGTTTTCAACTGGTTCTCTCTGAATGCCAGCATTTACAATCTCAGTCCTTATCACTCAGGTGCTAGGCAAACAAAATAGAGACTTAAGATCCAAGCTTGGTGGACCAGGAAAAGGGGAGGGGTGACCAGGTCACTGGTACCCCAACCCTACAGCCTCAGTCTTTCCTGGAGGCTGATTTATCAATCTGCCCTTTGTCTTCCTTTGCCCATAAAGTTACTCCAGGGTAGGCGCCTGTCAGGACAGAACAGCAGCAGTGTTATACCCAGAGCTTACTTCACGTCAACCAAAGAGGCCTCCCAGGCTCCAACAGCGAGTGGTTCTGTATGGAGATATGGGACTGGGTACCTGGTACCAGTAGGGGAAGATTGTGGGGTGAGGGAGGTGGGCATTGGCGAGGCTGCAGAGGAGAGAGGTGCTTGGCATTGCCAAACCATGGTCTTAGCCTCCCTGGAGAAGCTGTTTTATGTGTCTGCTGCCAGCTGCTGGTCTCCGCACCCTCAACCGTTCTCAACCCTCCTGCAGGGAGAAGGTCTCCTGGGCACTGTCCTTCCACCTGTGCCAGCCACCCCCTGCCCCACTGCTGAATGAAGGCCATTTCAAGCGCTGCTTCTCCCTCCATTCCTTCAGCTGTTATTGCTGCAGGGCTACCCTTTTCAGTGCTGTGCTTGTCTAGCCCACCGCCACAGCCCCTCTTGGTCCTCAGCAGGTGGGAGGGGCCAGGTGCCCCTTTAGGACAGTTGCTTCCTCCATTTAGCCAGACCACTCCTCTCCTCCCAGTGGAATGGAGCCCTTGCCAGCCCTGCTCCATCGTCTATGTCAGCTGGTCCCAGCCCATCTCTAGGGAGAAAAAAACTCACAAGAGTCGCTTCTGCCCTCGCAACCCATACCAGCTGTTTGTAACCATCTCCAAGGGAAACGGCATGGCTCCTTCTCCATTCATCTGCATGAGCTCCTCTTGGCTTCCCTAAGGGGCCAAGAAAGCAATTTTTCTGCTTGTCAGATTCATTGAGACCAGCTGTGTGAGCCCCTGTGGGACAAGGGTGTCTCCTTCATTGCTTAAAGGTATTTAGAAGGGTGGGTCACTGCAGGTGACCAGGGGAACAAGGGCTAGCATCACTTTTAAAAAAAATCACCACTAGTGGCCCAGAGTGTGGGTACACACCTTCCCCACCCCATAATGCAGCCACTTAGGAAGAGTGGTCTTCCTGAAGAGAATTTGCTGGAGTTGACTTCCTTATCTCCAAACTAAAAAACAAAAACAGCTAATTATACACAAAATCTCAGAAACCTACAAGCTAAACACTCTAGGAAAAAAAAAGCACCCTTCTGTACACTTAGCAATAAGAGGGATCTTTTCCCACTTACCCCTACTCCCACCCCTGCCCCATCCCACCTCATTAATGTGAGTAATGAATTAGCCTGGCCATAGGTGGTCACTGTAGGCTCTGGAAAATACCCAATGGAGGGAAAAGACCCCATCAGATGCATGAATGTTTGCGAATGTCGGCTGCCACTGCCCCACTCAGTGTCTTTATAGAATCCTCCCTGACCCTACTTCCCCCTCCAACTCCCAATTTCCACCATGACACAAATTGCTCAAAGGCTGGTGACTGTGGGCCATTCATCTCTAACCAAGTCCTGATGGAACAAGAGGCCCAAGCCTAGGGGATGCAAGAACGACCCATTTCTTAAATGATACCAGTCCCAGTCAACCTTTTGGTGACATTCTGGTTAAATTTCCCAATTGAAAACGAGCCAACAGACACTCAAACTGGTTGTGTAAATGTTGCTAGACTTTATGTGTTGTACAACTAAACATTGATGTTTGAACAATAATCGCTTGGCCTGTACCTTATTTATGCTCCTTGATCAAATCATCTATTAGATCAACTCGTGTGGAGAGTGAGCGGGGATAATCTTGGTAAGAAGTAATCACAATTTTAAAAAAAAATTTATTCTTAAGTTTTATGTGGATACAATATCTTTATTTTACATTTATGTGGTGCTGAGGATCGAACCCAGTGCCTTGTGCATGCTAGGCGGGCACTCTACCACTGAGCCACAACCCCAGCCCCAGTAGTCATAAATATTAGAGATGGAAATATCTTGTGAAGTCAGTTTATCTGTAGGTGGCATGAGGTCAGACCTCAAGTCATTATTTCCTGGGATTTTGTATCCCAAATGATAAAGCTCTCACACTTGATCTTGAGGGATGCTATGCTTTGCCTTCCTCAGTGTAAACATTTATTTTCATTCAGTTTACTTCCTAGTTTCCCCCCTTCTATTCCCTACAGACATAGGCACCAAGTCTATGAAGGGAGTGGACTCACGTTGTCTAGAAGCCTCCCTATTATCCAGGGAATGTTTTGAGTTAAGAATTTAAACTTAAACACTAGTTTATGTCTTTCTTGTACTTAAATCAAATCCTTCCAGTCTTTGAGGTACCCACTCTTATAGCAAGCAAACACAACTCTCACCTGTGTCTTATTTCTTTGAGTTTAAAAGTAACAGTTGTATGCAATTATGTCTGGGACCTCAATTAAAAAGTTTCCAGGTATAGATAAATGGTGGGAAGTGGTTTGGGGTGGGGTCAGAGTCTGAGGAAGACAAGTCAGACTCTTGGAATCATTCAAGTAAAATGATGAGGGTGGGAAGCAGAGTGGCAACACAACACTGAGATTTGAGTGACAGAGAAGTTTAGTGGAAATCAAATACCACAGCTAAAGGAAATCTAAAAGCTCAGTGCCATCATACAGATATGGAAACAAGTACAGAGAACATAATCCTGGACTAAAGCCCAAGGTTGCAGTTAGTTACCATGGTAGGTTAAAGACTATCTCAATGCTTATTCTACCGCTCCTCACCATCCTTATTGTATTTTATTTGTTCTACTAAGTCATACTTTAAAAGATATTTTTTTTTCCTGAAATCAGGATATGGCCTACAACCGATGGTGTGTCAGTTTATCTGGCAACTTTTTTCCTCCCTGGCATGTTAATAATTGATGTGTTTTATACTTGATAGCATTTTAAATTTAATAAGATACAGTGGTCAAGAAGATGTTTATTTGGGGCTGGGGCCGTAGTTCAGTGGTAGAGCACTTGCCTAGCATGCGGGAAGCACTGAATTTGATCCTCAGCACCACATAAATATAAATGAATAAAATAAGGGTATAAAAATATAATAACATCATTTAAAAAAATTTATTTGAAGAGCTCTGGTGCTGTTTGTGAAGTTTAAAGGAAATAAGAATATGTGCAACATTCTACTCCTCACAGCAATTATGGTACAGTGTTACCCTCGGATCCTCACAAACACCTTTGAAGGAGGCATGGCCATATGAAGGATGACCCATAAAGGCTCTCTTGACTCAAGGCTCAAAATTCCCCTTCCACGTCCTGACTCATATCACCTGCTCTTTCCTGGATGCCATCTCACAAGACATTCAGCTCTGATTCCAAGACTTTTCAGATGGAAGACAGTTCTGCGGTTCTCAGGAAAGGAGAGGAATAGTTCCAGACCCTTTTCTGGGAAAGGCTACAGCCAGGGAAGGCTGGGGGTCATCCTGGCTGATGTTCTGGGGATGGCTGCTTTTAATTTCCATTCCTGGAAGGACCAACCCAAGTCTATCTTAAGCGTGGTCAGGGGAACAGCCATTCTGCAACCTCTTAGGAGAGATCACTCACCTATCACTCTTGCCCTCCGCGCTCTGGGGGCGGAGCAAATCCCCTGGCCCCTCCTCTTCTCCCGGGCCAAGGCAACGCTGACCACGCCCAGCACATGACCACGCCCCACCACGTGACCTGACATCTCGCCCTGCCCTTTTCGGTCTTTGCGCCATAATCTCCTCCCTCCCCCTCAGGCTCCGCCCCACAGCTTGTCCCAGGCCCCGCCCCTTTCCATCTGAGGGGCGGCGGGAGGGGGCCTGGAGCAAGATGGCGGTGAACCAGAGCCACACCGAGAACCGCCGTGGGGCCATCATTCCTGTTGGTGAAAGGTGCCGGAGGGAACACGGGGGCTGCCGTCAGAGAAGGGAGGGGACGAATGAGGTTTAGACCTGCTGGATCGCCAGCTTTCAGCGAATCACGGGCCTTCCCGCCGTTTTGGGGATTGTCACTCACGTCTCTGCCCGGGGTGTGAGGAGCGCACCCTCTGGTGTTCCCTGAGGGAGGGTCGCGGCCGGAGCTCGTGGTCTCCCGCGTGTGAAGGGAGCGCCTGTGTCTGTCCTCGCAGGCGCTTCGTGTCCCCGGGCTCGCCCATAGGGCGCTGTGGGGCTGCACCCGCGGCCTCTGAGCAGGGAGGAGCCGGCCCTGCCCGACTCGCAAGACCGAGGCGCCCACTCCCCATTCCACCCACCGGCTTTGCTGGGTCGTGTCTGTCTCCCAGCCCAGCAGTTCTGAATTATGGGCTTCTTTCTCTGCGCTGATTTGCCTTCATTTCCCATTTGTCCGCTCCAGCGATGACCTTTTTGTTTTCTGGGGTACTAGGGACCGAATCCCGGGCTTCACGCATGCTAGGCAAGAGCACCACCGCTGAGGTCCTGAGCTCATCCCAGCTCCAGAACCTTTGCATCTGCTTGTTGGCCATTTGTGTTTCCCACAAAGCCTCATCTGTAGAAGAGACTGTCAGAGACTGTCTTTGGGGGCTGGAGGTGTAGCTCAGTGGTAGAGAACTTGCCTAGCACGTGTAAGGCACTAGGTTTATTCCTCAGCACTGCATATAAATAAATAAAATAAAGGTCCATCGACAACTAAAAAGTATATTTAAAAAATAAAAAAAAAAGGAGAGACTGTCTTTTTCCTATAGAGTGGTCTTGGCACCTTTGTGGATAATCTCTTGACAGTATATGTGAAGGTTTGTTTTGTGGACTCCATTCTGTTCCATTGATCTGTTTATCTTTGTATCAGTGCCACACTGTTTTTATTACTGTAATACTGTAACAAGTTTTGGAATCAGGGAGTGTAGATCTTCCACCTCTTTTCTTTTTCAATATCATTTAGTTATTTGGGGTCCCTTGGGATTCCATATGAATTTTAGGATGAATTTTTCTGTTTGTGCAAAAAGTGCTTTGATTTTGATGGGAATTACATTAAATCTGTAGATCCCTTTAGGTAGTATAGATATTTGTTGAAATCAGAAATTGTGTTGCCTCCAGCATTGCTTTTTGCTCAGGATTACCGTGGCTATTTGGGGGGTCTTTTGTGTTTCCATGTGAATTTTGGATTTTTTTCCCCCTAGCTCTGTGAGGAATGTCAGTAGAGTTTTTTCACATCCTTAGGTTTATTCCTAGGTGGTGGGGGTTCCTCCTTGTTTTAGTCAGTTTTTTTTCTCTGCTGTGACCAAAAGACCTGGCAAGAATAAAATGAGGAGGAAAAGTTTATTTGCAGCTCATGGTTTCAGAGGTCTCAGTCCACAGATGGGTGATGCTGTTGCTCTGAGCCCAAGGTGAGGCAGAACATCAAGACTGAATAGTGGTGGAAGGAAGCAAATCAGGACATAGTACCAGAGGCAGCAGAGACAGAGAGAGCTTTGCTCATAGGGACAAAATATAAAACCCAGAGACACACCCCAGTGACCTACGTCCTCCAACCACACCCTTCCAACTTATAGTTACTCAGTTAATCCATGTTAATGGATTCATCCACCAGGTAGGTTACAACTTTCATAATCATTTCACCTCTGAATGCCATTCTTGCATTGTCTCACACATGAGATTTGGGGGACACCACATATCCAAACCATAACCTTCTGTCCCTGTCCCCTAATAGCTCATGCCCATCTCACAATGCAAAATACATTTAATCCATTTCCAAGAGTCGTCATAATCTTAACAGTTCCAGCATTATCCAGAGTCCAAGTCCAAAATCTCATCTGAGACTCAAGGCAAACTCTTGACTGTGAGCCAAGATCAAAAGCAGGTTACATATATGTAATATATAATGGCACAGAGTAAGCATTTCCATTTTATAAGGGAGAAATAGGGTCAAAGAAAGCAGGGATGGGACCAAAGCAAGAAAAAAATCTAGCTAGGCAAACAAGTCCTGTAGCTCCATGTTCAACGTCTTGAGCACACGGCATTGTAATGTTCTCCAAGGGCTTGTGTAGCCCTGCCTCTCGGCCTTTGCCAGTTGCAGTCCAGGTGGCCTCTCTGTTGGCTTGTTTCTGCTTAATTCCTGCAGTTTTCCTCAGCAGGTGTTCCACGGTGCTGGAACTTTAGCTTCCTTCTCCCATCTTCATCCGTCATCTGCTCAGGGGTAGCCTGAAGAGACTCTAACCCTGCTCCACTTTGCCTGCCCTCCCAGGCTTTCGTTTGAAAGCTTGGTGGAAGCCTCCATGACTCCCGTACTCCAGCATCCTGCATTTCTGCAGAACCACCACCATGTGGTTGATGCCAAGGTCTGCCACCATCTCAAGTGTAGCCAAGCTTTCTAAGACTATAGCTGCAGTAGCCTTGAGTGCTTGGATGGCTGAGCAGTGAAAAGCAGGGTGCCTCCATGGTCCCTTCTCACAGGAATCTTTACTTTTACATCCTTGAGACTAAGATGGGTGTGTTATTGTCAATTCCTGAGATGCCCTCAGCTTTTCTGTTGTCTCTGGGTAAAGTATTTAACATCTTTTTAGTGGCTGTAATGTCTTTAATAACCACAACTTCCTTATCCCAGTTTTACTTGTGTTTTCTGGCCAAACTCCAAGTTTTTCAAAGTTCTGCTTTCTTCTTCTGATTGTCACAGTAAACCTGGCTAAAAGCTGCCAGCAATATCCATGCCAATATTTCAATGCTGTGCTGCCTTGAAATTTCCTCTGACAGATTAATTAGTCCATCATCTTTAAATTTAGACTCACAGAGAGTCTCAGGACATGAGTAAAATGTAGACAACTTCTTTGACAGAACATATATGAATGGCTTCTAGTCCAATTTCTAGGAGAGTCATCCTCTTCTAAAGCCTCATGAGCCTCGTCTTTACTGTCCGCAGTATTATGGCCATTCTGGTCTTCTAAGCTCTCACCAGAATCACCCATTAATAAAGCAAGCTTTTCCAGCTTGCATCTCTAAACTTGTCAAAACGCCTCCCTCAAATTCCAAAAGGTCCCAAAGCTTCTGAACTACGTGGTGAGGTTAGACAGCAAGATCCTATGCTTGGTATCAATGTCTGTTTTAGTCAGTCTTTTCTGGCTGTGACCAAAAGACCTGATGAGAAAAACAGAGGAGGGCAAAATTATTTGGGGTTCATGGTTTTGGAGGTCTTGGTCTATTAGTAGCTGACTTCATTGCTTTGACCCAGAGGTGAGGCAGAACATTATGGTGGAAGGGTATGGAGGAGGAAGGCAGCTCACAACATGGCAATGAGGAAGGAGGCGGGTGCTTTGCTCACAGGGACAAAATGTAAAACTCCCAAAGGCATGTTCCCAGTCCGATACCTCCTCCAGCCACACCCTACCTGCCTGTGGTTACCACCTAGTTGATTCATATCAGTTAACTAATCCACTGATTAGGTTCCAACTCTTATAATCTAATCATCATACATCTGAACGTTCTTTCATTGTCTCAAGTGAGATTTTTGGGGAATACTACCTATCCAAACCACAACACTCCTCCTCTTCTTCCACCTGTTTCTGTGAATGGGATATCTTTCCTGATTTCTTTCTTAGTTCATTACTAGTATATTAAAAAAACTACTGATTTTTTATGTTGATTTTATATTCTGTACTTTATTGAATTAGTCTATTATTTCTAAAAGTTTTTAGGATTTCTTTTACTTTCTCCTTAATTATATGTCTTTTATTTCTTTTTCTTTCCTGACTGCTCTGGCTAGAATTTCTAGTTTATTGAATGAAAGTGGAGAGAGTGGACACCTTTGTCTTGTTGCTAATCTTAGAAAAAATGCTTCATTTTTCCCCATTCAGTATGATGTTGGCTAGGGGCTTGTACTATATAGCCTTTATTATATAGAGATATGACCTTTCTCTATATAATTTAATCAGAGAATTTTTTTCATGAAGGAATGTTGAATTTTATCAAAGACTTCTTCTGCATCTGAAATGATCATGTGCCTTTTATCCTTCATTCTGTCTTTGTACTGTTTACATTTATTGATCTGCATGTGTTGAACCATTCTTGCATCCCTGGAATGAAATCAATTTGATCATGGTCTATGCTCTTTTTATTGTGCTTTTGAAATTCAATTTGCAAGAGTTTTGTGTCTGTGTTCATCAGGGATGTTGGTCTGTCATTTTCTTTTGTTGTTGTGTCCTTGTCGCTTTTGGTAGCAGGATAGTACTTGCTTTATGAATGAGTTTGAAAGGATTCCTTCACTTTCTATTTTATGAAATAGTTTTAGAAACATTGGTTTCAATCTTTAAGTCTGATAAAATTCAGCTATGAATCGATCTGGTCCTAGGTTTTTTTGTTGGGAAACTTCTTATTACTCTTTCAGTGTACTTGCTTGCTCTTGATCTATTTAGGATTTTTATATCCTCTTTATTCAATTTTGTTATGTAATATGAGTCCAGAAATTTGTCATTTCTTTAGATCTTCCAATTTATTTGCATATGGCCTTAAAAAATATTCCCCATGGTCATTTGTATTTCAGTGTATCTGTTATAAAGTCTTTTTATTTTCACCTCTAATTTTATTTATTTGGGTCTCTCTCTCTCTCTCTCTCTCTCTCTCTCTCGGTTAGTTTAGTTAAGGATTTGTTAATTTGTTTGTCTTTTCAAAGAACTAACTCTTAGTTTCATTGATCCTTTGTACTGTTCTTTTAGACTATATATCATTTATTATTACTCTGATGTTTATTGCTTCTTTCCTTGTACTGATTTTTTTCTTTTCTTTCTTCTTTTACTGTTTTTTTCTGTTATTGTTGTTTTATTATTAGAGATCAAACCCAGGGCCTAACACATGCTAGGCAAGTGTTCTACCTCTGAGCTACATCCCTGACCCTCAAAAAATTTTTTTTGGAGACAGGGTCTTACTAATTTGCACATGAACTTGTGAGC